GCCCGCGGGAGGCGCCATCCACACTGAAGAGAGAGTATGCAGGCGGGAGACCCGGGGGCAGGGAGGGCTCCCAGGAGGCTTCTCAGGCGTCTGCACTGGGCAGCGCCCGCGCACGGGCTGCCACTCGGGCTGCCTGGGGCCTGCAGGCGGCCGTGGCCGGGCGGGATGCGCCTCTCCCGTGGCCGGCGTGGCTCTGCCTTCGGGCAGGCGGGGCGGGAGCGCCTGGGGGTCTGTGCCCTGGCAGTCTCCGGGTGGCGAGGCCCCAGGGCCCCTCCCGGCTGCACGGGGACCTGCGGGGGAGGCTGCGGCACAGCAGCGCGGGGCCCCAGGCGGCTTGGGACGCGCTGGGGGTGGGGGGGCCGGGCTCCGGGTGCTTCTGCAGCCCCCCGCGGGGCCGGGTGGGCGCGCGCCCTGCTTGGTTCCCTCTCCGGGTCCGCCGCGCCGCGCATCCGCCAGGCTGGGGCTGCCGGCCTCCTCTTCGCGCCCAGACTTCCCCATGGGGGTGCGGGGGTGTGGCCTCCGCGCCCCTCCCCCGGCCGGCGGCTCCCGTCCCCGGGGGCGGGTGGCGGGCGCGCTCTCGGCCCTGGCGGGGGTGCAAGCAGGGGTGCCCCCCCCCCCCCCGCCCGCGCAGGGCTCTGTCTGCACTTGTGGGGCTGCGCCGCGGTCGCGGGGCGCCTGTGCTCGCCCGGGCTGCGCTGGGCGGGGGCGCGCTCGCAGGAATGCGCGGGGCGGCGCGCTGGGGGGACCCGCGCCCCGGGGGGCGGCGGCGGGGCGGGGCGGGGCGCCCCTCCCGCGGCCCGGGATTCGGCCTTCACCTGCGGGGGGCGGGGGCGCCGAGCATAAAGGCGGGGCGGGGCCGGAGCGGCCGGTGCTGCGCGGGGCGGAGCGGGTGGCGCCGCCTCGCCTCGGCCGCTGTCCCGTCCCCGCGCCGCGCCGGCCATGGAGGGGCCCCGGGGCCGCCGCGGGCTGGCCGCGCTCTGGTGCCTCGGGCTGCTGGGGGCCCTGGCGCGCGTCGCGGGCTCGCACTACCGCTACCTCTGGAGGGGCTGCTACCCGTGCCACCTGGGCCAGGCCGGCTACCCCCTGAGCTCCGGTGACCGCAGGCCAGGTGGGGGCGCGGGGGGGCTCTGGGGCGGGAGGGACCCCGAGTGCGCCCCTGCCCCGGGCGGCTGCCAGCCTGGAGCCTGGAGCCTGGTCCTGGCGCCGGCGCCCGGGGCCCTGCCTGCCCTCCCTGGGCTGGCCGCGGGCGGGGGCTGCGGACACGGGGTGGTCGCAGGAGCAGAGGGAAGAAAGTCACCCCTTGCCTTTGTCGGTGGGCGGGGGTCTGCTCCCCGGGACTGGCTGATCAAGGGAGAGCCTCTGGGACCCAAGGCAGGGTGCCCCGGGGCTCCCTGGAGCCTGGACCCTCTGACGTGTGTGTAGATGTTGCAGGGGCTCCTTGTCCTGCCCCCCCCCCAAAGCCTTGGGAACCTGGGCAGCCCTGTGGGGCAGCAGGGGGATGTGGCACTGAGGACCCCGCAGCCCTGGAAGGGGCCACCTCTGCCTGGTTCCTGCGCCTCTCCCCGAGAGCAGATCCGGTACCCAGCTGGCAGCCTCCCTCCGGGAAGCCCGCGCGGCATCCTCAGGAATGCCAGTGGGGCGCGCTCGTGATCGCCGGGAGCCGTGCGCCCTGGACCCTCCTGGGCACCTGGCCTCCTCCCCTCCGCTGGCTCAGCTGCGGCCAGGCCAACACCTCGCCCTGCGCTGACCGCCGTGCACCCAAGGGCCGCGGGCTGGGCTTTGGGGATCTGGGAGCGCTTGCTGGCTCTGAGCCTGCCTGGGCTTGCAGAGGGGAGAGGAGGGCCCCTGGGGTGCCCTCAGGGGTGAGGCCCCTGTGGCATTTTGGGGTAGCAGGACTCTGGACTTGACACCGCCCCGGTGTCGGGGGACCTGGGGGCTGGGCCTCTGCGTGTGGGCGGCTTCTGGTGCTTTCCGAAGGGCAGCCTGGCCGTCACTCCCTGGGCCCGGAGCTGGTGGGACGGGGAGGTGGGTCTCCGAGGCACTGCCCTCCCCCAGCTTGTAGGCGCCACAGATCAGCGCCCAGGGCAACCGCCCGGTGCTGGCACAGGGACGTGTCACCAAGTGACAGGCTGCCAAAGGCCCCAGTGACATGTCCCAGCCGAGGGCAGCCCCGGGGACCTTCCTGCTGAGCCCCGGTCTGCCGTGCCTCAAAGCGGCGCTGCTCAGGACCGTGTGCTGCCGGCGGGCAGCCCCACTCAGTGGCAGCTCCCTCCTCCAGGGTCCGTGGGCGCTGCGCCTCGCCAGGCCGCACAGGAGTGCGGTTTGCCCAAGCCCATCCCTGGCAGGAGCTTGTCTCTCTCAGTAAGGACTGGAGATGAGGTGGCCTCCAAGGTCCCCTTCAGCCTGGGGGTGCAGGTCAGGCCCCCCCGGGGTGCCGAGGCTCTGTGGCTAGCCCTGCACAGGCCCTGGTGCGCCCCGGGGCGGGCCAAGGACAGGCCCTGGGGACGGCAGCTTCTAGGGCTTGGGGAGCAGCAGCCCCCTGCTCCAGCACCATCGGGGTGACTGGGGTCTGGGTTTCCAGCTTGAGGGCCGGCGTGGGCTCCGCTGTGTCCGCCCCCGCGGCTGCTGTTTCCCCCGTGGGCGTTTCCCACGACACAGCTAGGGCTGGCGGGTCAGGGCAGGCTCCACAGGGCTCCAGGGCGGCCTGCTTGAGGCACCCACATCCCTGGGCCCACGGCCACTCCCTCTGGGCCTCCTGCTTTGTCCTTTCAAGGGGCACGTGGTGACATGGGCAGCCTGGATACTCTCTCGTCTCACTGACTTCTCCCCAGAGTGCCCCTTCCACCTTGTAAGTTTCCAGGGGCGAGGGCTGGACATCCTTGGGGCCAGTACTCAGCCGACCAGGCTCTCAGGCTGCTGAGTGCTTCCTGCCTGGTCACCAGGTCCATGGAGCAGCCTGAGGAAGGCCTGTCCGGCCATCACGTGGACGCCTGGGGAATGGGGTGGGCAGGTACGCTCCTTGGTCCCGGGACGGTTCCTTCCTGTCCTGATGGCCCAGACCTCGGGCTCAGGGCACCCCGGCAGAGCCACTGGCCAGGCGTCCAGCCACCTGTGAGGGGAAAGGCCTTGACCCGCCACTGTGTCCACCTGCAGGCGGGCTGACGGCAGAGCTGGGTGCTGGGCCTCATGGCCCCTGGCCATGCCAACGACCACGGACCCTGTCCCGCAGCGGCGCCCCCAGCGCAGCCGACATGGCTAGAAGTCAGGCTCAGCGAGTGCTCCTGCCCCGGGGGCTGGGCCTGCTGGCCTGGTGGGTGCTGCCCAAAGGGCTCGGCCTGCTGGCCTGGTAGGCACTGGGTTGAGGCGCTCCCCTTCATGAGGCAGGAGGGTGGGGAAGCTGCTCTGGGAGGCCGGGCTGCACGGCCAGCCAGCTGGAGGGGCCCGCTGACCTCAGACACCCAGCCGGGCCTGTGTCCTGGCCCTTGTGTGTGTGCTGACCCATGGGATGCCCTCCAGTTGGAGTCCTGCTGACCCGAGGGCCGGTGCTCCTTCCGGGTGCCTGGGACTGTATGGACAGTGACTCAGGCCCCCTGGGAGCTGCTCCAGGACAGGAGACCCCAGGGCGGCCTGCTCCCCGCCAGCACCCAAGGGTATCAGGTCTCCGTGCCAGCCAGCGTGTGCAGAGTGGGCCTGGATGCTGTGGTGCCCGGGTTTGGAATGTGTCTGGTCCAGCTGATTGTCCCTGGCCCTGAGGTTGTCCTGGACATGGTGGCCCCCTCCCCCAAGGCCTTTGTGCACCCACCAAGGCCCTGCAGGGACGCCTCTACCTGTTGGGTCCCTTGTGGCTTGTGCCAAGGGTCAGTGCTTTCTGAGCCCCGGGGGGTGTCTGCCCTGTCCCCAGCCCGCCCACAGGAGGCTGCTCCCTCTCGGGGCTCTGCGGCGGCTGTGCCATGCTGCTGGCGGTCGGAGCCAGGGTCATGGTGCAGGAGGACCCCTCGGTCTCCCCACCTCTGCTCTGAGGCTGCCTCGGGGTTTGGCAGGGACCCTGGGGGTCCCCTCAGAGTAGACACGGCCCTGGGGTCCCAGGCAGAGACCCTGGCCTCCTGGCGCTCCTTCCCATGTTTCTGGAGGTGCAGGGTGGGGCTGGTGCTGGGGAGCACAGCTGGGGGCAGACTGCTCCGGGGCCCTGTGGGATGCGGTCGGCTGCCGGGGCCTCTGCCGACCAGTGAGGGCGCTGGGCTGGTGACTGACGGCCCTGGACGCTCACTTCCCAGACTCCTGGGCCTGTGCTGTCTCCCCTGGTGCCTCCCGGGCGCCCCCCGGTCCGGTCTGGGAGCTGTCCCCCGGTTGGTGAGGCCGGTCCAAGGACCGGGCCTGGACTCTGTGCCTGCGAGGCCTCCAGGCCGCCCCTCCTGTGCCTGCCCGGCGGCGGCGCCCCCTCCTCCCTCCGGGTCCCCGGGCAGTGGCCCTTCACGCGGGGTCTGCGGCTGCCCATTCCTGCCCGGCCTGCCCTGAGGCCAGGTGGCAGAAGAGGGCCTGGGAGGAGGGGTGGGCGAGCGCAGCTGGGGCTCCTCACCGCAGCATCCCTGCAGGGGCGGCCGGCCTGGCACTGGCCGCGGCCACCCTCGTCCTGGTGAGCTTGTCCCGTCCTTCCCGAGCTGCCCCATAAAGTGCCTGCGTCCAGACGAGGTTCCGTTCCGAGGCTCCCATGGACAAGAACTTGGGGGGCACCTCCCTCCAGGCCGGCGCCCCTCCAGGCGTGTGCAAGGCCTCTGAGTGCCGAGAGTGGCCCGGGCTGGGACCGGGTGCTGTGGCTCGGGACCCACTCCCGTTGTGGGCTCGTCCCGCCGCTCCCTCGCTGCCCCACGTCTGGCCGGTCAGCGTGGCCTGGGAAGGGGGGGTTGGGTCTGGGGTCCTCGGGGGAGGGGCCTGGTCCCCAGGGCAGCGCAGAGCGGGCAGCGGGTGGGTGCTGACCTCAAGCCCCGGCCCGTGTCCCCCAGATGTGGATGAGTGCCAGACGCACAACGGCGGCTGCCAGCACAGCTGCGTGAACACGCCCGGCTCCTACCTCTGCCAGTGCAAACCCGGCTTCCGGCTGCATGCGGACGGCAGGACCTGCCTGGGTGAGTGTCCCCGGCCCCGCCGGCCACCCCAGTGTCCTGGGCGCGCACTCGAGAGGCCCAGGGGCCTGCGACTGGCGCCGCTGCTGTGAGGGCGGCTCCGTCCTGCGAGCGGGAGAGGCAGGGACAGAACCCCCCGTGGGCATGGAGGGGCCTGGGCCGGAGCCCCGGTGTGGTTTGCACAACCTGGCCTTGGCCTCTGCTCATGGGCCTCGGCAGGGCTGCCCTTGCCGCCGTGCGCGCTCTGCCCGGAGGCCCGTGGGGTCCCTCGGGAGGCCGGTGGCGGGACAGGGCAGGGCGGGCTGGGAGCCGCTCTCTTCCGCAGTCTCGCCCGCTGCCTGCGGCAGGGCGGCCCGCCAGCCGCTGGGGGCCTTGCCGGGACACTCACATGTCCGGGCCGCCGCTCGGGAGCGAGGCAGCTGCCCTGTGAAGTTTCTCCGGGGTGGAAAGTGGAAACAGATGCAGGAATGTCCTGATGTGCTCCAGAGCCAGCGGGCGGGTGCCGGGCCAGTTGCCGCGGGCGTGGGGGTGGGGCCGCCTGGCACCCCTGGCCCCGGGCCCCCGAGGTCTGCCCTCAAGCGCCTCTGGGGCAGGTGTCCTCGAGGAGGGTGTCCCTGGGCGGGCTGGGCCTGCTGCCTGGTGAGGGACCTGGGGCTCAGCCTCCGGCCTCTTCGGCTGGCGTCTGCCAGGGGGTGGGGGGCCCCGCGAGCTGATGGAAGTGTGAGGCGGGCAGTGCCGAGCTTGCACGGGGAAGACACCGGGGCTGGAGGGGACCCTGTGGGCCGGCGCTGTGCCCTGAGCCGGGCTGTGCTGCGGCCTGTCCTGCGCGCTCTGCCCCAGCCTCCCCTGGCCCTGGCTGAGCTCAGCCGGCTGGCGCCAGGGGGGCTTGACTGGCCACGCTTGCTTACTCCGAAAGGCCTTTTTGGGGTCCCACTGCAGAGCCCCTGGTGTGGTGTGCACAGACTGGCTTGAGGCTGCTGGGACCTTACTGCCCACTGCCTTGTCCCCGACCCTGCACCCCAGACCAAGAGGCGTGCCCAGGCCCCTGGATGGTCACCCCAGGAGCTGGCGCCCCACCCCTCTCCTTGCGAGGGCTTGGCCAGCCCATGCTGCGCTCGCTGGCCTGTGATCCCTGCAGCACCCCTGCTCATGCACACTCAGCACCCCTGCCAGCGGCGGCTGGTTCCTGGAGTCTAGAGTGCCCAGGAGCCGACCCTCGCCAGCGCCAGGGGCTGCCCGTCTCCAGCTGCCTGGTCTGGGCCCGTGGGGGCTGCCACCCTGGGCCGCCTGTGCCTTGCCGAGGAGCTGCCAGACTGGACGGGGTCTTCTGAGGGCTTCTTCACAGGCTCAGCACCCCCTTCCTGCTAACGCGCCCCGCGTGGCCTGCTGCAGTGGGCCTGGCCTGCGGCCTGGGCGTGGGGCGAGCTGCTCAGACCAATGAGGGGACTGCTGGGGGCACGCCAGCCTGCTGGACCAAGGGCAGTGGGATGGGCTTCCGCTGCTGGGAGGTGTGAGGGCCTGTCCCGGGACTCCCGGGGCGTAGGGCATGGGGGCGCGGAGGCCCCCTCTGAGCCCAGACACCCTAGGGCCTCAGCAGACGGTCGCGGGACAAGCCAGCATGACGCTGTGCCCCCCAGCTGGGCAGGCTGTGCAGATGGAGCACAGATGCCCTGGCTCCACCCCGCCTGCTGGGAGCCTGGGCCCGGGTGCTGTGAGCACTCCTGGGACTTTGCGGCACGGGGGGCGGCCAGACCTCCCAGCGGCTTGGGGTGTGGGTTCGGGAGATGCCGGGGCTGGGCGTAGAGAAGGTCTGAGATGTGACAGACTTCCCGGGCCTCGTGGGGGTGCCCTGGATGCTGGGAGCCTTCAGGTGATGCCACCGCATGGCCTGAAAGGTTCTGGGAACCCCCAGCGGAGTCAGCTCTCGAGGGTGGCCTTGAGACACACAGGGAGGCTTCAAACACGTGGTGGGGGCTTGAAACACACGGAGGGGGACGCCCTTAAGCAAATACCTCAGAACTCGCCCCCAGGTAGGGTGGACGGGGTGGGGGCGCAGCTCTCTTGCATCCCTTCTTGCAAACCGTCTTAAGGAAACATCCTCACAAGGAGACCGTGGGAGGTGCTGGGCTTGGTGTCGGCTTCTGGCCGCCTGGGCCAGCCTGGCCCCGAGCATGTCCCCCCAGGGTGCTCTCTGTGGTGCGCCCTCCCTTCCCGACGCGGGGGAGGGGCCGTGAGAGCAGGGTCTAGGGTGTCCTGCAGGCCCTCTGCACACCCCGTGGTCTGCTCAGGGTCGGCGCTGTGCGCCCAGGTCAGTGTGCCTCCGGCCCCAGGAAGGGCCGTCACATCTCCCGGGGCTGAGGGGCCGTGATGTCACGATTCGGCTGGCAGCGAGCTCCTGGTGCATGCCCGCTCGGCCGCGTGCAAGAGGGGGCTGCTGCGGGGGACTCTCGAATGGCCGCCGCGGGGGACTCTGCCGTCAGCCCGCGTCCAGACGCTCTAGCTGCCTTCACACGGGCTCCCCCACCTGCCCTCCCTGGGTCTCTGCCTGGTGCTGAGTGGCCTCAGGGCTGACACCCCTCCTCACACGGGGTCTGCAGACTGCTGTCCACTCAGCTCCTGCTCGGCGTGGGCCCTGGGGAGGTCCCCTGGTCCCGCAGGCTGCTGCTGGCAGTGTCTGGGGCAGGCGCCAAAGCCGCCAGCAGCAGAGTCGTGGGGACAGCGAGCCTCCCTGCCGGCCCAGCCTGCAGAGCCAGTGCAGGTGGGAGTGTCCCTCGAGTTCCCCCAGACTGCCAAGGGCCACAGTCAAAAGGACCCAGGGTGCCCTGGCCGCCCCGACGTGGTCTCAGTGGAGCTCGGATGGAGGTGGGAGCCCCTCCCCAGGTTGAGCCTGAGCACGACCCCAGGGGCCACACGAGCTCAGGCCACGGTGGGATGGGCACACCCCAGGGTGCATGCGGAGACCTGATGGGGAAGACCACAAGGCTGGCTTCTGAGGCCAGCGGCCCAGGAGGCGGAGCAGGGCAGGGCGAGAGGAGCAGGGCAGGGCGGGCTGAGCCGGGTGGCCCCTAAGGCTTCACTCCAGGTGGAGGCGCAGGAAGCCCCGGGAGGCCCCACACCTGGGGTCCTGTTGGGCTGCCGAGCTGAAGGCCAAGCCACTGCTTTCTCGCGGGCCTGCTTGATGGCCTGTGAGGCTGCTGCTGCACAGCCTGCTCCAACCCCCGGCCCGTGGGCAGGGGCGGCTGCTCACAGGGGCTGGTGCAGAGCAGGGCCCCTCCTGGGGTGGGGGGCAGAGCGGCAGGCAGCCCCGAGCTGCGGGGGGTGGGGGCCAGGGTGGCCAGGGCCCGGGCGAGTGTCCCCTCCTGGCCCGCGGAGGGCCTCCCTGCTCCTGTCTGGCCCGGGCCCGTCCCCAGACGCAGGCTTCCTAGAAGGAAGGGCTGTGGTGGCTGCTGACCGCCTGTGGTGTGAGGCCCGTGGGGCCAGAAACCCCACCAGCCCAAGGGCGGTGATCACAAACCTCCTGGAGCCCGGCCGAAGCCAAACCAGCAGGCTGAGGTGGAGGCCCGGCGGGGCGGGCTGGCCCGCGTGCCAGGCTGGGCGGCCAGGCCTGCCCACAGCGTGCCCTCAGCTGGCCCAGCGCCCCTGCCACTTCCTCCGTGGCGCTCAGCCACACCTGACCCTGGCCCCGGTCCCACACCCGTGCCGCCACCTGCACCTCCAGGGCGGAGAACACGCTGGCACCGCCAGGGCCCGCGGGACCCGGGTTGCTTCGGGGTATCCAGCTTCCAGCCCCTCCCCTGGACGGCATGGTGCCCGCCCGAGGCTCCTGGGTGGGGCTGGCCCAGCTGCACGGGAACCCGCAGGCCCCTGGCTGGAGCCCCGTGTCCTGGGGTTTGCACGCGGGGCTCCCAGGGGGCTTCGGCAGAGCCCACGGACTGGGGCCTCCTTGGGGTGCTGCTGGGATCTCAGTCCAAGGTGTCCTTGGAGCCAGAGCCCGCGGGGTTTCCCCTGACTCCGGGTGGCTGCCTCCTTGGGGTGTCTCCAGGTGGGGGTGGGGGGGAGCATGACTGAGGCTCCCCTTGGGGACCCCAGTCCTGTGGGCCGTGCCCGGCCGCGGCCAGCTCCGCCCAGCCCTCCCACCAAACCCGTCACCTCGCGGTTGAGCTTTAGGGAAGCCCAAGTCTCAGGACACGTGTAGCTCATGAGAGCCAGGGGACCCGTCGCCCCCCATCTTCTGATGGCCACACCGCGGCTGGCTGGCTGGGGGCCTTGGGGGCACTGGCGCGTCAGCGGGTGGCAGGCACGTGGAGACGGGGGGCGGGGGGACACGCACCCTCTGCGGCCCCCACGTGCCCCGCCCTGACCTCTTTCCCGGTGGGCTCTGGGGGGTGCTCCAGGGGGCCCCTGAGCCCCCAGAGCTGCTGATGCCCCGAGAGCCCGCGTACCAACTCCAGGCCACAGGGCTGGGGCCAGGGGCTGCTGGGCTGACCCCACCTCCTGCCAGCAGCCTGACCCTGGCCGGGTCCTCCGTCTGGAGGCCTCCTGCGCTCCTGGCAGGGCTCCCGGCCCTCCTCGCGGCTCTGCTGCCCGCCCAGTGGCCCCGGGTCCAAGCCCCACTCTCCGCGCCGGCCCGGCCCTGCCAGGAAAGGCTTCTGCTTCCGATTATGTGTCCTGAGCGGGGCTGTGGCTGCTGTGAACACAAACAGCCCCGGCGTGGGGTCGGCTCAGGCCACGCTCGGTGCCTGCGGCGGGGTCTGGCTCAGCAGCGAGGCCCAGGTGAGGTGGCCGGGCCAGGTGCTCGGACAGGGGGGGCGGAGCGAGAGGGGCACAAGCGGACTGGTGCCCCCCACCCCCCAGGCCTCCTCTCCTGACCCTGAAAGTAGAGCAAGGGGTGGCCAGGGACAGGGGATCGTGGCCCCCCCTGGGCTGGCTTGTCCCTGGGGCGACCCTTGACCCCACACCCCACCTGGGGCGCCTCTCCAGCTCTCCGTCGGCCTCTCAAACCCAGGCCCGAGGCCAGCAGGCCCCTGGGGTTGTGACGACTGCCAGGTGGCCTCTCGGGGAGCAGCGGGTCCCCCACCACTTTCGTGTCTTAGCAGAGGGACTCGGGCTTCCCGGGTCCAGCCCGCCAGCTGTCAGCTGAGCCGCGGCGCAGACCCAGCACTACCGGGGCATCCCGAGCGGGGGCTTGGAGCGTGCGTGGCCGCTGGGGCCTGGAGCCTGCACCTGTCCCGGGGCCAGGCCTCCACGGTGGTGTGCCCTCTGGCCAGTGCCGGGCGCGGTGGGGCCTCCGGAGTGCACCCTGTCCCCTGGGGGCGGGCACGTGAGGCCAGGCCGGGGCTGGGTGGGGCCGGGTCCTGGGGTCTCCTGCGGGTGGCAGTGCCTTTGGTCCCTGGCTCCGGGCGACCCCGCTGGGCCGTCCTCCGGGGCTCACGGGGCTCCTGTGTCTCAGCCGTCAACTCCTGCTCCGTGGGCAGCGGCGGCTGCCAGCACGAGTGCGTCCAGGTCACGGCCACCCAGCACCGCTGCCAGTGCCGGCCCGGCTTCCAGCTCCAGGACGACGGCAAGCGCTGCGCGCGTGAGTCCCCCCCACCCCCCAGCCTCGCCACACCCGCCAGGGCGTGAGTGCCCTGCCCGACCCGCCACACCTGCCAGGGCGTCCGGCCTGGCCCATGCACAGGCTTGCCAGACCCGGCTGCAGCTGGCCCAGGCAGCACGCACCCCTGGCTGGCTGCAGGGGCTGAAGGGCCAGCACGGCAGGGCCCTTGGCTGCCGAGAGGCGGGGCCTGGGCCAGCAGCGGGGGTGGGGAAGGAAGTCCCAGGCTGGGCTCTGGGGCCGCAGCCATGAGGGGCAGGAGCTCGGGTGCGTGAGGAGAGGACGGGGTCCTGCCTGTTCCTCCTTTCCGGACCCCTTGGGCTTGTGTGGGTCTCTGGGACCCGGGCCAGGCCCATCTGCACCTGCACAGAGGGGATGGAGAAGGCAGAGCCGGTCAGGGCCCCGAGACACGGCCGCCCCAGTGCCTGGCCTCTTGGGCCTGGGCCGGCGTGGGCCGAGCATGAGGGGGTGAGGCTAGGGGCGGGGTGGGGTGGTGTGAGGTCACCGCGCTGGGCGCTGGCAGGCGTGTCGCTCTGAGCAGAGGCCAGCTGGCCTGCTGCCCTCTGGGGTCTCGCGGGCAGTCTGGGGCTCCGTCTGGGAGGGAGACGCCTGTCTGGGCAGCGTGCGCCGGCTGTGCCGCCTGGAGCCCCAGCGCTTCCTTTTGCCTCCTCGCCGTGGCCACAGGGAGAGACCCGTGTGCAGACCGGAACGGCGGCTGCATGCACACGTGCCAGGCCCTCCAGGGCGTCGCCCGCTGCCAGTGCCACGCCGGCTACCGGCTGGCCGCCGACCGCAAGGCCTGCGAAGGTAGGGTGCTGCCCGCTGGCCCCGGCCCAGCCGCTCCGGCCTAGTGGGAGCAGGGCTGGTGGGCGCACACTGGGGACTCTGGCCGTCTGGGGCGGGGCTGGCAGGGACGCTCCAGCGCCGGGTCCGCAGCGAAGGAGCCGGGCCCAGGCTGGCCTGTCTGCCGTGTGCCACGCCTGAGGGCACCTGCCCACTGGGGCCCTTAGGAAAGGGATGAAGGGTGCAGGGGATGTGGTCCCGCTGGTGCTCTGTGCCGGCTCCTGGGCCCACGGTGCTTGCTCGTAGGGGCATTCAGAGTCTCCCCAGGTGCTGGTCGGGCGACTCTGGAATGGCTGCGGGGCTCTGCCCATTTCCGGACTTTGAGGTGTCCCCCTCCGCCCCCTAGTGAGCAGCTTTGGTGGAGGGTCTGGGCATCCCCACAAGCCAATTGTGGCCAGTGTCAGCGGTCATGGTCAGCGGACCTGGCGGGAGCGACCGGGGGCCAGGGAAGGCTCCGGTCATGCAGGGGCCGCGGCGTCAGGCCCAGGCTTTGGGCTGCGGAGGAAGCCCTCTCTGATGCTGCTGGCGGGGTGCTGGGCGCAGCCCCACACCTGCACCCACCTTGCGTGGGGAGCTGCTTCTGCCCAGGAGCCGGCTGACCCCGACACGGAGCCCAAGGGGGCCAGGGTGGGAGGTGGGGGTGGGCGCCAGGCCCCTCCGGGAGGGCAGCACCGGGGAGCGTCTCCCAGGCCCAGCGCCCGCCTTGGTCTTTCACATCCAGACGTGGACGAGTGCGCCACGGGGCTGGCCCAGTGCGCCCACGGCTGCCTCAACACACGGGGGTCCTTCAAGTGCGTGTGCCACGCAGGCTACGAGCCGGGTGCTGATGGCCGGCAGTGCTACCGTGAGTGGGCGTGGGGTGTGAGGCGCGGGCAGGGACACAGCCCCCTGACCGTCCAGGACGCCTCGGTGGTGGGCTGCGGCTGGCCCCTGGGGGGCAGGAAGGGCAGGGTCCCGGAGCGCAGGGGCCCTGGTGTGGCCTGACCCTGGAGCTGGGGTGCCCGTGGCCCAGCAGCACGGCTCAGACCCGGCCGGGCGCGGGCCTGACCACGTCCCTGGGGGCGGGCTCCCCACAGGGATCGAGATGGAGATTGTGAACAGCTGCGAGGCCGGCAATGGCGGCTGCTCCCACGGCTGCAGCCACAGCAGCGCGGGGCCCCAGTGCACCTGCCCCAGCGGCTACCAGCTGGACGCTGACCAGAAGACCTGTGTGGGTGCGAGCGCCCGCCCCTGCGGCTCGGCCTCCCCGGCCAGGCCTGCCTCGCTGCCAGGCTGGGGTGCAGGGTGCTGTGCCCCACACTCCACCCTGCACTCCCTCACTCCTGGTTAACGGCCACGGATGCCGACACTGGAGGGCTGCGGGCTGGGGGTGGAGGATCTGGGAGGGCTGGGGGTGGGGGCTCTGGCGAGGCTGCCTGAGATGGGGGGCGGTGCGGGGCGGGCAGCTGCTGCTGGGGACCGCTGGCCAGTGGGCTCCTGTGTGTGCCGCAGACGTGGACGACTGCGCCGCCGCGCCCTGCTGCCAGCAGGTCTGCACCAACAGCCCCGGCGGCTACGAGTGCGGCTGCTACGCCGGCTACCGGCTCAGCCCCGACGGCTGTGGCTGCGAGGGTGGGTGCTGGGCCCTGCGAGGTGGGGACCTGGGTGGGATGCCCCGCCTTGTGCAATGCCTCCGGGTGTGGTCTGAGCGTCCGCCCCTCCCCGGGGTCACTGGTCACTCGCTCCTGAGCTGGGCTGGGCCGCACCCTGGCTGCTCCTGGCCCCCGGGGGCTGCGGCTGGGGCGGGGCAGGCGGCCCCCGGGAGGAGCCCCCCCCCCCCCCCGCCCAGGACAGCCCCAGCGGTGCTCTGCCCGCAGACGTGGACGAGTGCGCCTCGGGACGCGGCGGCTGCGAGCAGGGCTGCGTGAACCTGGCCGGCTCCTTCCGGTGCGTCTGCGAGCCGGGGTACCGGCTGGACGAGGACCGCAGGGGCTGCACCCGTGAGTCTGCCTCCCGCCCTACCACCCCCTGGCCGGCGCCTGGCTCTCGCCCCTTCCTGGCGGATCCGCCCTCTGGGGCAGGGCGGGTGCAGGTTGGGGGCAGTCAGACGGACGTTCCCAGACCTGGTGTCACTGGGGGCCTGGGGTCCAGCTTCTGGCCCGCTTGGGAGGGCAGGGACTGGCCTATGGGGACATCATTCCTGGGGCAGCCACTGGAGCCCCCGCCTCACCCTCCAAGCTTGAGGTCCCCAGGGCAGCGCAGGCGCCCGGACACCTGGGTGGACGTGGCCCAGTCAGGGCCACGGGGCAGCACATTTCTTGGTGCTGAGAAGCAGGGTCTGTGGGCGCAGCTGGAACAAGCCCCTGGGGTGGCTGCTGGGCACTGAGGTGCCCTGGAGCCCGGTCCCGGCCAGGGGCCGGCGGGCTAAGTGCCTCGTGCCTGTGCCAGCCCTGGAGCTGCCCCAGTTGGACCTGGACGGCCAGCTTCCCCTCGTGCGGGCCCTCCCACACATCGCGGTGCTCCGGGACGAGCTGCCCCCCCTCTTCCAAGATGACTACGTGGGGGCCGAGGAGGAGGAGGCGGAGGCCCGGGGCGAGCACACGCTGGAGGAGAAGTTTGGTGAGAGGCGGCCCAGCCCGGGGCCTCTGCTCTCGGGAGGGGGCGCCGCCAGCACCCCGCTCCTGCGCCCCACCCACAGCCATGCCATGAGCACCCGGCTCGCCCCACTGCTCAGCCGGTCCCAGCGGAGCTCGGGTCCCCGCCGGCCGCTCGGCTCCCCACCCCCGCGGGGTCCCTCTGGGCCCAGCTGCCCCTGAGCCCGGCTTCTGTCACCCCACGGCGCCTGAGGCCGGCCGGCCGGTGTCCCCGCAGTGTGCCTGGACCAGTCCTTCGGCCGGGACTGCAGCCTGACCTGTGACGACTGTCGCAACGGGGCGCCTGCCTCCCGGGGCTGGCCGGCTGCGACTGCCCCGCGGGCTGGACCGGGCTCGTCTGCAACGAGAGTGAGGCTCTGGGCGCGGGCGGGTGAGCCTGGGCCTGGGCTGGCCCCTCGCGTGGCCCGGCCGCCGCTCCGCAAGGGCCCGTGGGGAGGCGGGGGCGTGTCGGGCGGGGTGGGCGGGCCCGTGGCATCCCCCAGGCGGCGCTGGGTCTCCGGGGCCTGCGGGGCGGGTCGGAGCCGGGGGACGTGGTGGCTGGGAGGGGGGATTCCGCGCGGCGGCGGGGCGTGCCCTCCCCCCACCCAGCACCCCAGCCCCGGGGTGTCTCCTGTGCCTCTGGGTCTGGAGCCCCAGCCAGCGACCGCCCTGCGCTGTCACCTCAGCCTGCCCTCCCGGCACCCACGGGAAGAACTGCAGCTTCTCCTGCTCCTGTCAGAACGGCGGCACCTGCGACCCCGAGACGGGCGCCTGCCGCTGCCCCCGGGCGTCGGGGGAGCCCACTGCGAGGACGGTGGGTGCATCCCTGTGCCTGGGGGTGGCCCGTGGGCTGGGGCAGGCGCACGGACCCCTCAGCTCCCCGCCCGCCACCTCCTCGTCACCTCCCCGGGAGCAGGAAAGGCGCCAGTGCCGGGAGGTCCCCGCAAGGGGAGCGGTGCCTGTCCCTCTGCCGGTGTCCCGGCGCCCAGTGGGAGCGGGAGGTGAGGCGGGGACAAGGAGGACGCCTGGGTGGGCCCAGGGGGCGGCGTGGGAGCCGCAGGGTGGCCTGTGGGGCTGCAGGGGTGTTGCTCTGTGCCCGGGGGGGCTGCAGGGGTGTCTCTTCCCGGCCTGTGGCTTTCGGCCCCTTGGGTCACCCAGATGGTCTCCGGGAGCCCGGCCCAGCCCCCCAGCCCCCGGCAGGCAGGCGCGGCAGGATCCAGCCAGAGGGGCCTTTTGGGAAGGGAAGTGAGGAGCCCGGCCTGCCCTGGCCGGACGCGCCCGCGTCCTTCCCTCTAAGAGTCCGGAGGGCGGACACGGAGGGTGGGTCAGGGAGACCGGGCCGGGGTCTCTGTTCTGGGGCGCGTGCCCGGCACTGTCCTGGCTGGCCAGCGGGGAGAGTGTGGGTTGTCTCACGCCGTCCTGCCCTCGAGGTGCCCCCCTGCCCCAGCCCTTCCCTGCCTGGGAGGCGGCCTGAACCCTCTGCTGGCGGCCTGGCCCTGTGCTGGGGGCACCTCCGGGGGGCCCTGTGGGGCCGAGCCGCTGCCCTGGCGCTCACCAGGCCCCCTCCCCCAGGCTGCCCCAAGGGCTTCTACGGCCGGCTCTGTCGCAAGAAGTGCCACTGTGCCCACCGTGGCCGCTGCCACCGCCTCTACGGGGCCTGCCTCTGCGACCCAGGGCTCTACGGCCGCTTCTGCCACCTGGGTGAGCCCACTGCCCGCTGCCCTGCCGGCTGGCCGCAGGCCCGTGGGGGTGCCCACTTTCCTCCAGGTCCAGCTTGGGTGGGACTGGCCCCTGTGTGCAGGGAAGACCCCGGGCCCGGGGTGTGGGGTCGCAGGTCTGGGGACTCAACCATGGACACTGCGCTGGCCCTGGGGTCCGGCGGGTGGTCGCAGCTCCGGTGAGGGCGGGCGGAGTGCAGGCGCGGGCACGGCTGGCACCTCTTGGGGCTTCTGGGGCTGGGCTTCCTCTCAGCTTTAGAAGAGGCCTGGTGGGGGGCCCCAGAGGGCCCATCGCGGGGGACAGTGGGGAGCAGGGGCCCTCACAGCCCTTGTAAAGGGGTCCTCAGAGGAAGGGGGCTGGGAAGCAGCCCAGCTGAGACGGGTCCAGTCCCTGGGTCCCGTGGAGGGGGCCGCAGCTGAGGGGGGCAGAACTGGGGGGGGCGGGGCGCGCCCAGGCTGGCGGCCCCCTCACGGCTCTGGGGTGCAGCCTGCCCGCCGTGGGCCTTCGGGCCGGGCTGCTCCGAGGAGTGCCAGTGCAAGCAGCGGAACACCCGGGCGTGTGACCGGCGGGATGGCCGCTGCGCCTGCAAGGCGGGCTACCGGGGCGAGCAGTGCCAGGACGGTGAGTGCCGGGTGGGGCGGGGAGGGGCTGGGCCAGCTGAACCTGCAGGCCCCGCTCTCCTCACCCCTGCAGAGTGCCAGCCGGGTTCCTTCGGGCCGGGGTGCCAGCACACGTGCGCCTGCCCCCCGGGCGTGGCCTGTGACCCAGTCAGCGGCGCGTGCTGGGAGCAGTGTCCTGCTGGCCACCAGGGGAAGGACTGTGCCCAAGGTGGGTGCCCGGGGTGGGCGGGAGCCGGGTCGCCGGCGTCCCTGTCCTCCTTCTTGGGTGATGGCGCGGGCACCGGTCTGCTGCGGCTGCTCGGGCTGGCGGCGTGTGAGGGGCTGGGGTCTCCCTCTGCACCAGGCAGGCCCCTCCTGCGGGTGTTCTTGGGGACCCCAGGCATGAGGTGTGACTGGCCAAGTGGCCTGCGAACCTGCCCCCTGCCCCGAGGAGCTGAGGGCTCCCCCTCTACCACCCCCGCCCAACTGCCCCAGGCCCGAGAGGACAGCCCCGGCTCACCTGCCTGAATCCCCGGCCCCGCACCGCCTCCTCTCTGTCCCCGCCCGCTGCCCACACGTGCACACGTGGGCACCCACCACCACCCTCCCCGCACCCACCGCCGCCCGGTCCAGCCCTGTGGGCACTGGGGCCCGTGAGGGACCCCCGGGGCCTGTACCCCAGCACTTGCTGCTGATTCTCTTGCTTTAAAAGCCCCCAGGGCGCCAAGGATGAGCCACAGGAAACGACCAGCCTTTTGCTGCAGGGCGGGCGCCTTTCCTGAGAGCTGGGGGGTGGCAGCCTGCGCCCAGCTAGGGGAGGCCCCTGGGGCCTGGCGGGCAGCTGTGCCCTCTGTGCGCCTGCCCCTGTGCGCGTGGCACGTGTGTATCTGGCGTGTGTGAGTGCCTGTGTGCGCCCGTGTGTGTGTGTGTGTGTGTGTGTGTGTGTACCTGGCATGTGTGAGTGCCTGTGCGCACCTGGGTGTGCCCTGGCGCGTGCCTGCCTGTTCTTCCCCGGGGCCGGGGTCTGGCCCTGAGCCTCTGGCCTCTCTCCTGGACACTCTGCTTTGTGGCCTCCCCCCGCCGGGTCTCGGTGCCCATCCCTCTGGGCAGTGGGTGAGGAGGGGGCCTCAGGGTGTTCCTGCCCTGCACCCTCCCCCCAGCACCCATCTGGCCAGGACAGTCACAGCCCTGGGAGGAAAGTGGGGGATGTAGGCCCCAACCCCCACCCCGTCCCGTGCACTTTGGGGATCTGTGAGGGGGCACATGTTTCCTCGGCCTCCCTGCTAGGCAGGGGCACCCCCAGGTGGTGGTGGGGGACACCTCCGGACCTGCCAGGAGTGAGACGCAGGTTGGACGGGTTCCGCCCCCCACTCCCGCTGTCCCGGGTCCTGGATGCCCGAGGCAGGCGTCTCTGGCCGCCCCTGCTCCTGCCCAGGCCGCCCTCCTTCCCTCTCCCCACACGGGCCAGCCCGGCAGACGTCCCTGCCACGCCCGTGCCCTCCGCTGCTGGCGGTGCCAGGGGTGGGGGTGCCGGCCGGGAGGAGTGGGGCGGCCGGGCTGAGAGTCCCCCCCCGTCCCCCTCTGCAGAGTGCCCCGCGGGGACGTTTGGTGTGAACTGCTCGGGCTCCTGCTCCTGTGCGGGAGCCCCCTGTGACCGGGTCACCGGGCAGTGCCTGTGCCCACCAGGGAGGACGGGGCTCGACTGCGGGGCAGGTGAGACACATCCGGGCCCACCTCCCTGAGGGCTGCTCCGGCAGGGCCGAGCTGTGCCCTCCGGCCAGTGCCGACGGGGCCAGCCCCTCTCGTGGGCTCCCGGTCGTGTGCCTTGAGCCGGCCTGGGCAGGGCCTCCTCTCCCGGCGGGCACCCCACCGCTGAGCCCCTTCCCTCCGCTGGGCCAGCTCTGCCGGCAGCAGGTTCCCGCTCTGGCATTAGGCGTTGGCAGGGGTGGGTGATGCTGGGCCTTGGTGCCACCAGGCCTCAGGGAGACTGGCTTCTGTGCCAGACTGTCCCGAGGGTCGCTGGGGGCTCGGCTGCCAGGAGATCTGCCCGACGTGTGAGCACGGGGCCACCTGTGGACCCGAGGACGGCGCCTGCCGCTGCCAGCCCGGCTACGTGGGCAACCGCTGCCAGGACGGTGAGGGCCTGGTTGCCCCGGCCCCGCCCTGGCCCCAGGCTCCGATGGACCCTGGCCTGGCCCTGCCCCAACCCAGCCTTGCCTCGGACCCAGGCCCCTCCCAGTCCCACCCCCTGCCCCAGGCCCTGCCCCCTACCCAGCCCTGACCCAGCTCTTCATGTGGGATCCCAGGGCTGGTGGGGGCTGGTGGCGGAGCGTGGGGTGTCTGCCCACACGCTCACCTCGCTCTGCGCCAGTGTGCCCCGCGGGCTGGTTTGGGCCCGGCTGCCTGCTGCCGTGCTCCTGTGCCAACGACGGGCTCTGCCACCCTGTGACCGGGCACTGCAGCTGCGCCCCTGGGTGGACCGGCCTCAGCTGCCAGAGAGGTGCGCGCCTGCTCCGGAAGCCGGCGGAGGGCGGGCGGAGGGCGGGCGGGCCCCTGGCCGCGCGGTGACCGGCTCTGTTGCAGCCTGTGACGGCGGGCGCTGGGGACCTGACTGTAGCCACAGCTGCAACTGCAGCAGCGGCCGCGGGAGCTGCGACGCGGTCAGCGGCCGGTGCCTGTGTGAGGCCGGCTTCGTGGGCCCGCGGTGCGAGCAGCGTGAGTCCTGGACGCCTGGCCCGGTGCGGCCTGGGCGGGAACGCGGGCGCACACATAAACACGCACGAGCGCACGCGCACACACGCACATGCACACGCACACGCCAAGTGTTGGGGCCGGTTGTGCAGAGGCGCGTGGGGGGAGGGGCGCAGGGTGGCGTGTGGTCTCCCTGCCCGGGCTCCCCCGGCTCCCCCTCTTCAGCGGGGCTCAGCCCTGCCCTCCCCCCTCCCTGGACCCCGGAGAGCCAGGGTGAGGTGGGGGCTACCGCGCACCCTGGGGCGCCTGGCGCTGGGGGAGGGGCGGGAAGCCACGCTAAGGACTGGGGTCTGCCCCTCCGCACGCTCGCTGGCCAGGGCTGCGGGTCTTGGGGGCCCGGGCTCTCCACTGCTGTTTCCTGTCTTGGGGGGGCGGCAGTGGCGGGGGGCCCAGCGTGCGCCTCTGGGAGTCAGCCCCCGCCACAGCCCGGGGCACCAGCCGGGATGCCCAGGGTAACCGTGGCCCGGCTGCCCGTCCAGGGTGTCCCCAGGGCCACTTCGGGCCCGGCTGCGGGCGGCGGTGCCGGTGTGAGCACGGGGCCGCCTGTGACCACATCAGCGGGGCCTGCACCTGCCCGCCCGGCTGGAGGGGGACCTTCTGCGAGCGCGGTGAGCTGGGCGGCCCGGAGGGCGGGGCGGGTCTGGGGTCGGCGCCGCCCGCTCACCGCCCCCCCTGCCCGCAGCCTGCCCGGCCGGCTTCTTCGGACTGGACTGCCGCAGCGCCTGCGACTGCTCCTCGGGGGCCCCCTGCGACCCCGTGAGCGGCTCCTGCCTCTGTCCCCCGGCCGCCAGGGCCCCCGCTGTGCCCAGAGTGCGTGAGGCCCCGCCAGCCCCGGGTGCCCCCGGAGGGCTCCACCGGACTCGCCTCCGCCCGCCCTGGGTCTGGGTGCCAGGCGGCCGCCCCAGCGCTGCTCTGCCCACGTGGGCCAGCGCCTCGGGCCGCTTGTGACCCCCCTGGTGGCGCCTGGGTCAGGGGAGGGGGACTGACCACCGCGGCCGGGGGCCCTGGCAGGTCAGGGAGCCCTGATGCCCCCCCCACCCCCGCAGCTTGCCCGGCCCACACCTACGGCCCAACTGCAGCCAGGCCTGCTCCTGCTTCAACGGGGCCTCGTGCAACCCCGTCCACGGGCAGTGCCGCTGCAGCCCGGGCTGGACAGGGCCCACCTGCCGGCAGGGTAAGCCCGAGTGGCTGGGGGGACGAGGCTCTCCGAGCGGAGGGCGGGGCGGGGGAGAGGTTGCCTTGGGCCAGGGCCGCAGCTTTCTGCGCTGTGCCCCTCGGGGGGTCATGGCTGGGGGGGCAGGTGGTCCTAGAGGCAGCCCTGGACGAGCACGCTGGCCCCACAGGTGGTGCTTGGGGGGGGGTGCCCAGGGCCTGGGGGCTGCAGCTGCTGCAGTTGCTGCCCCTCCCCCCGCCCCCAGCCTGCCCCGCGGGCCTGTACGGCGAGGACTGCCAGCTCCCCTGCCTCTGCCAGAACGGCGGCAGCTGCGACCCGGTGTCAGGCCGCTGCACGTGCCCCGAGGGCTGGACTGGCCCGGCCTGTGAGCAGGGTGAGCACTGGGTGGGCAGGGGCGAGCGCCGTGGAGGTCAGTGGTCACCAGGGCTGGTGCCAGAGGACCCCGCACCGCCCCAGCCAGCCCCCAGGCTGGGAGCAGCTTGCCGGGGTGGCCACTCTGTCCTTCCCAAGGACCCAGGACCCGGGCCCTGGGGCAGAGGCCTGCTGGCAAGGGGTCCGGGGTGCTGGGGTCCCGCCTTGCCGGGAGGCAGCCCACTCACCAGGCCCCCCACAGAGTGCCGCCCGGGGAGCTTCGGAGCCGGCTGTCAGCACAGCTGCAGGTGCCTCCACGGCGGCCTCTGCGACCAGCACACGGGGCGCTGCCTCTGCCCAGCCGGCTGGACGGGGGACGCGTGCCAGAGCGGTGAGTGGGGCCCTGCTGAGGGTCTGCAGGGCAGAACCTCCACCTCGGGAGCCGGCCCGAAGATGCAGGGGTGATTGGGGGCCTGGGTGGCACTGTCCACCCTAGAGGGGGTCCTTTAGCTCCGTGGGACCCAAAGCCTTTTCTGGCCAGGCACTCCGTGCCCCGAGGCCTGGGGGAGGGAGGGGCCGCCACCCTCGATGGCCCTGCTCGAGAGCCCCTGCAGACACCCTGACCGGTGGGCATTGGGCCAATCACTGCCTCGTCCACCCCCCGAGCTGCTGCCAGCCACCACCGGGCGGAGCCCCTCGGCCCCCAGCTGGTGCAGCCCAGGAGGTCCCCTGTTTGAGGCAGCCTGGCTGGGCCCCGTCCCCAGGCCCCCGGCTGCTGAGCTGCACCCCCTGTGTGTGGGCTGGGGGGCCCTCCACACTACTCCAGCGGTCTCCTTTGCCACAGCCTGTGCCGAGGGCACGTTTGGGGTTCACTGTGAGGAACGCTGTGACTGCCGGCGGGGAGGTGCCTGCGACCGCGTCTCCGGGGACTGCCTCTGCCCCCCGGGGTGGAGGGGCTTGCGGTGTGAGCACGGTGAGGCCCCCCCCAGCACCCCGGCACCTGCCCAGGGTGGGTTGGCATTTGCAGAGCCCCCTGGGCCTGCAGCACCCACCAGCGTGCTTCCTCCTCAGCCTGCCCGCCTGGCTGGTTCGGGATGGACTGCGCCCAGCGCTGCCAGTGCCCCCCTGGTGCCGCCTGCCACCATGCCACTGGCGAGTGCCGCTGTCCCCCTGGCTTCCTCGGACCCGGCTGTGAGCAGCGTAGGTGACCCCTCTGGGGGCCCTGGGGGTGCAGGCCCAGCCTGAACTGTGACACCCCCAAGCCTCCCCCCAGTGAGGCCGTGCTGGGGAGCATGCTGGTCCTGGGCCGGGCCAGGATGACCCTGCTGCCTCCTCCCCAGCCTGCCCTCCCGGCACCTTTGGGGAGAGCTGCAGCCAGAGGTGCCGGTGTCCCGGCGAGAACCAGGCCTGCCTGCCCGCCTCCGGGGCCTGCGTGTGCGCTGCCGGCTTCCACGGCCCCAGCTGCGGGCAGCGTGAGTGCTGCAGGGCCGGGGCAGGGCGGGGCTCTGCGGGGGGCAGTGCCCAGCTGGGTCCCAGCCACTGGCCCTCCCCATAGGGTGCCCTCCTGGGCAGTTCGGGCCCGGCTGCGAGCAACAGTGTGGGTGTCTGAACGGCGGCTCCTGTGACCCGGCCTCGGGGGCCTGCCTTTGTCCTGCGGGCTTCCTCGGAGCTGACTGCAGCCTCAGTGAGTGTTGGGGTACAGGCGGGGCCAGCTCCTCCTATCCAGGGCCCCACCGGCCAGACTCGCAGGAGGCAGCTGCCGACCACCCACCTCCGTAGGCCTCCTCCAGGTCTGCCCTGGTGGGTGCTGCCTCCAGCACCCACCAGCGGCTGGGGCTCTGCCACGTGGAGGGGCCGGCACCCTGCCCGCCGAAGGCTCTCCCTGACGCTCGGGGGACTTTCGCCTGTCTGGACCCTGGCTGGGCTGGGCGGGAGCGGGGGCACAGTGGTGGCTGCCGAGCAGGCCTGGCCCCTGCACGGCCCGTGGGCGGGAGGGAGGTGCCAGCTGGGCAGGGCGTGGGGGCAGGGCGGGGCCGTCTGGACCAGACACGGGTCCGGGGTCCTTCTGTCCTGTTGGGTCCTGGGGCTGGTGCGGCCGAGGGCATGGGGGCCGGCTAGGCGGCCACTGTCCTGTTTCTCCGGCAGCCTGTCCAGCAGGCCGCTTTGGCCCCGGCTGTGCCCATGTGTGCTGGTGTGGGGAGGGGGCAGCCTGTGACCCCGTGACGGGCACCTGCACCTGCCCCCCAGGGAGGACCGGCACCCACTGTGAGCAAGGTGAGGGGGCACAGGCAACGCCACAGCCTTGGAGGGCGAATGCCTCGGTGGAGCCTCAGGGAGTGGGGCCACCGCAATGCACCAGCACCTGGGAGGGCCACGGTGTCACGCCAGTCCACACGCTTGCCCTGCCAGGGCTGAGCCCTCGGCCCTCCCCGGCCCTCATGGGGGCCTGCCACCATCCCCCAATCCCCGACCCGTGGCAGCAAGGGGTAGGAGGTGCGGGTCCTAAGTCCAGGGGAGACCTTGGCTGTGGGGCCATGAGCGGGGCCCAGACGTACCGCAGTGTCCCACCCCAGCCTCCTCTCTGCCTGGGGCGTGGGCCTCTGCAGAGCGACCTCCAGGCAGGCTTCCCCAGCCGGCCCTGCCGGGCAGGCGCTCCAGCCCCCGGCCGCCCCCGGCGTGGGACCAGGCCTGGCTTCACTGGCCGCGCGCGGGTGGCCGGGCAGGGGGCATCGGTGTCGCGCCTTGAGCGCCAGGCCAGGAGCTGGGGCAGAGACAGGCAGAGACCCCCGGAGCGCTTGCCGAGAGCGGCAGGCCTGGTGGGGCGCCGAGCTTGAGCAGCCCCTCGCCCCCAGGGTGCCCCCAGAACCGATTTGGCGCGGGCTGTGAGCGCGTGTGCGCCTGCAGAAACGGGGGCCTGTGCCACGCCGCGGACGGCAGCTGCTCCTGCGGCCCCGGCTGGACAGGGCCGCACTGCGGACAGGGTGAGCGCGCGGGCCGCGGGGGCGGGGCGGGGCCCAGGGGCGGGGCGGGGCCCAGGGGCGGGGCGGGGCTTCCCGGGCGTGGTCTCGGGCGGGGGCGGGACCCGGGCGGGGGCGGGCCTCCGGGGCGGTGCCTCGGGCGGGGGCGGGGCCGGGCCCTCCGCCCCGCGCCCCTGCAGGAGGCTGACCGGCGGCCCCCCCAGCCTGCCCGCCCGGGCGCTACGGGCCCGCCTGCCGGCTGGAGTGCGCCTGCCGGCACAACCACACCTGCGAGCCCGCCTCGGGCGCCTGCCGCTGCGGCCGCGGCTTCTACGGCCCCGCCTGCGAGCACAGTGAGTCCGCGGCCCCGCCCCGCGGCCCAGCTCCGCCCCGCCCCCAGGGCCGCGGCCCCGCCCCGCCCGAGCCTCGCGCCCCCGCCCCGCCCCGCCCACCCCGATCGAGCCCCGCCCCGCCGAGCCCGCCCCCGCCCCCGCCTCGCGCCCACGCCCCCGCCTCGCGCCCCCGCCCCGCCTCGCGCCCGCCCCCACGCCCCCGCCTCGCGCCCCCGCCCCGCCCGCCCCCGCCGAGCCCCGCCCCCGCCTCGCGCCCCCGCCCCGCCCGCCCCCGCCGAGCCCCGCCCCCGCCTCGCGCCCCCGCCCCGCCCGCCCCCGCCCGCGTGCCGGGAGGCCGCGCCGGCTGCGGTCCCGGCGGGGGGCGGCGGGCGGGGGGGCTCGCCCGGGCTCAGCCCCCGCGCGGGGAAGCCGGGGCGGCGCGCGCACGGCAGCCGCTCACCCGGGCCCCCCGCAGCCTGTCCCCCCGGCTTCCACGGCGCCGGCTGCCGCGGGGCCTGCGCCTGCCAGCACGGGGCCCCCTGCGACCCGGTCAGCGGCCGCTGCCTCTGCCCCGCCGGCCTCCGCGGCGACCTCTGCGAGGCGGGTGAGCGCCCGGCCCGGCCCCCCCCCGCCCCGCCCCGCCCCGCCCCGGCCCGGCACCCCCCCCCCCCCCGGCCGGCCCGGCCCACCCCTCGCCCCGCCCCGGCCCCCCCACCTGCCCGCCCCGGCCCGGCCCGCCCCGGCCTCCCCAGCCCCGCCCCGGCCCCCCCCCCCCCGGCCCGGCCCGGCCCCCCCCCCGCCCGGCCCGCCCCGGCCCCCCCCGGCCCGGCCCCCCCCCGGCCCGGCCCCCCCCCCCCGCCAGCCCCCCCCCGCCCGGCCCCCCCCCCCGGCCCGGCCCGGCCCGGCCCGCCCCCACAGACCCGCCCCGCCCGCTGACGCCCCCCCCGCCCCCCGCAGGCTGCGAGCCCGGCTCCTTCGGGGACGCCTGCCGCGGGCGCTGCGACTGCCGGGGCGCGCCCTGCGACCCCCGCTCCCGGCCGCTGCCTCTGCCCGCCCGGGCGCACGGGGCCCGCCTGCGGCCTCGGTGAGTCGGGGCGCCCCTGGCGTTGGCTGGTGGCGCCGGCCGGGCCCGCCCAGCGCTGCCCCCGCCCGCCGCCCGCCGCCCGCCGCCCGGGCTGGGGAGCCGCCCCGGGAGCCCGACGCGCCGCCCCGTGGCCCCTGGCGCGCGCCCCGCGAAGGGCCCGGCCGCCCGCGCCCTCCCCGGGACAGGGTCCCCCCCAGGCTCGGGGTGCTCACCCCCCCCCTCCCCCGCCCCCCAGACTGCAGACGCGGCTTCTTCGGGCCGGGCTGCGCCCTGCGCTGCGACTGCGCGGGCGGGGCGGACTGCGACCCCCGGAGCGGGCAGTGCCGCTGCCTGGACGGCCGCGCGGGGCCCTCGTGCCGGCAGGGTGAGTGCGCGCCCCGCCCCCCCGCCCGCCCCGCGCGCCCCGCCCCCCGGGGCCCGGACCCGCGCGCCCCGCCCCCCGGGGCCCCGCCCCGCCCACCTGCGGTCGGGGGGCGTGAGCGCCCCGGACGTGCCTTCAGGGAGCGGGGCCTGGGGCGCGCGAGGGGAGCGGACTCGGGGACTCCCGGCTCGGCCCGCGGCCTGCGCGCCTGAGCTGCCCCGGGACCCCGCGGCCCCCGCCGGCAGCTGCCGCACGAGGGGCTGCGCGGGGCGCGGGGCACCTGGCGGCCAGGTGGGTGCTGCGCCTCAGCCCCGCCGCCTCGGCCTCGGCAGGTGCGGGGGGCGGGGCTTCGGGCGCGCGGCCCGTCAGTCCTGGCCCGGCCCCTCGCGCGGGACGCGGCTTCGCCTTGAGGCGCCCTCTGCGTCCAGGCCCGGCGGCTTGTGCCGGCCCCGCGTGTCCCGGGCAGGGCTGGGGGCTGCCGGTCCGGCAGGCGCGTGTCCCTCTGTCCTCATAGGGGTCAGGGGGCTTCACTGGGCTGGGTGGGGTCGGGGGGGGGCTGCTCACCCAAGGGTGGGGCACCAGCATGAGTTGCTGCCTGTCTGCCTCCAGGGGGGACCCCCCAGCTTCCTGAGAGCTCATCCCCAGCCCCGGGCCCAGGTAAGGAGACTGGGGCCTCCTGTGTTGCTGAGGGGCTGGTGCTTTTCAGGATGGCATTCTGGTGGCATCACCAAAGCCGGAGGAAGGGGACCTGGCACTGACAGGGGCCCCGGGCCCCGTGGGCCCCATGGGCCTTGGAGAGGAGGCGGCGGGGGTCTGGACGAGGCACTAGCACTGGAGGGATCCGGGGCAGGGCAGGTGTGAGCCTGGCACCTGGCAGCTCCCCGGCGACTCTCCTTTCTCCTGCATTGCAGGGACCTCACATCCTGGTGCCCTCGGGCCAGCACCCGGGCTCAGCAGCAGGGCCTCGAAGCGCTAGCTCAGAGACAGCCCCGTGAGGCCCCGAGACACCTCCCGAGAGCGCCCAGGGACCCAGAGCTTTGGCAGCAACTGAGGAAGGACACTTGGGCCAGGAGTCTGGTCCTGCCTGTCCCCGGGCTGTGGACAGCCGCGGCCTCTGGCTCGGCCGGATGGGCTGAGCACAAGTGGACCCAGCGAGTAGACTCTGCTCCGGCTGCCCTGGCCGCAGCCGCGCCTCCCCGGTTCTGGAGGGAGTGCAGGCGCGGGGTGCCCGCGCTCCAGCGGGTTATTCTGGTGCTAGGCCTGGAACTGCCGCAGCCCTGTCGCCTGCAGACAGGGCCGGGCCCGTGTCCAGGTGCTCACAGGCGGCCCACAAGCCCGTGGTGCCTGCCCGGGACGCCCCGACTCGGGGCTGCGGGGCCCGGGGCCCGGGGCGGGTTCCTGTGCCGTGTGAACAGTAAGTTAAGAAAGGAGCCGTGGCTTCCTCGTGGCCGAGTGTCGCTGTGTGTGGTCTCGCCAAGGTGGCCCCGGGCGCCGCCGTGGCCCACAGAAACCCCAGCTGGGGAGACCCCCGCCCTGCCCTCTCAACCCTGCTCCTCCCTGGGCTGGGGGGTGTCACGTAGGTAAACTCGGGGCTTATCCGGGCTCCTGTGCTCCAGAGAGACCCTAGGGCTGCCCTGGCAGAGGCAGGTGGACCCCAGAACAAGCTCAGGAAGGGGGACCGCAGAGCCTGCTGGCAGGGGCAGGACCCCAGGGGGAGGCCAGCCCTGGGCACCCAGCTCCTGGCCTCAGGGCAGAAACAAGGGGTGGGTGCCTGTGGGGAGGGTTGAACCAAATGGGCACGTGGGCCCCTGCTGTGAGGCTCTGCCCCTCCTCCCCCGGGAAGTCTCTTGGGGTCTCCCCTCCCCCTGCCAGCCTGGGAGCTGGTGCCCCCGCTCCCCGCCAAGGAAGGTGGGGCCGGGCCGCAGCTGCCAGCTGGCCGTGGGGCGCGGCCTCCCAGCCAGGACCCCCCAGGGCAGCAGGGGCTGAGGGGCGCGAGGGGCGCTGCAGGCAGGCCGCTGGTCCGCCCGGGGAGGGGAGGAGAGGCCGCTGACAAAGGCGCAGGCTCTCGCCCAGCGGTGATGGCCTCAGGCCGACGCGCGCGCCAAATAAAGACCTGGAGGCTCGGGCGGGCAGGCCCCGCTGTGGGACCGCGGAGAACGGCCCGCCCGCCGGCTGCGAGAAGGAAGGCCCGGGCCCTGGGCGGGCGTCACAGCCTGTGGCCAGACCCGCCCGCGCGCCCCGGGAGAAGCGGCGCTGAGCCAGTGCCCAGGCAGCAGCCGGAGGCCCGAGATGCTCACGGTGCAGCTGGACGGACCTCAGGGGACCCGGCCCTGCCCTGGGCCTTGCTCCCCCAGGCCACAGGGTGCCCCTTCCCCGCCGTGCGCCCCCCGCCTGGTCTACAGGCAGGCGGGCAGCTCCGCTCCCCACTCAAACCCTCCCTCGGGAGCTGGCCCGGGCTGCGAGGGGGCGCGATGGCCCCGCTCCGCTGTGAGGAGACACCCCTGGCTTTCAGAAGTGGGGGGCGCGGGCAGGTTCTCAGAAGGCCGGGAGCCCTGCCCCAAGCACATCACCGCCCCGGGGGGGGACGTGGGGGGGCCTCTTGGGAGTGGGGACCCCTCCTGGCCCAGCCCCTGCCGCCCGGCCCCTCTCACCAGGTTGGGAGGACACGTCTCCTGCTGCCCCCCCATGCCCCCCAAGTGCCTGCCCTGGGGGCACAGGTGGGCTGGGACACCCTAGGGTCCTCCAGCCCACTGGTCAGCTGATGCTTGCGTGGGGGAGGGGCGCATCAGGAGCCCGGCCTTGCCCTGGGCACCGGGTGGACAGACGGGCCAGGGCCACGACGAGCACGGCCCACCGTGGCCAGGGCTGGGCGGAGCCCCAGGGACCCCTCGCCTCGGGGTGGGGGGCTGGGCGGCCTGCACCGCTGGGTCGCGTGGGGGTCCAGGCATGAAACTTTAATGTCTTCGGAAAAGGGTGCGGTCACAGTCGGTGCTGGCGCTGGGGTCACGCCCGTGCCCCTTCTCTCGGGGGGTGGGGCGCCCCGTCACTGGAGGTCCTTGTCCCACAGGGGAGGAGAGGGCCTCACGCGCCCGCGCCACCGTGTCCCTCGGCACCAGGGCGCCGGGCGGGTGGGTTCCAGAGAGGCCGGGTCCAGCCTGGGCAGCACTTGCAAGTGGTCCTGGTGCCCGGGCGCCGGGGGCGGCTACACGTCGGTCTCCAGCCGCAGCCGCTCCATCCTGCGCACGTTGCCCTCCTGGGCCAGGCGGCTGGTGATCCAGCGGGCGACGTCCTCGGGGAACCAGCCCGCCTCTCCGTCCCGCAGCCGCTCGCCGTGCAGCCAGCCTGGGCCGGACGCAGGCGGTGAGGCGGGGCCTGGGCCTGATGTCCACGCCGCCGCCGCCCCTGAGCTGCGGGGTGTGTGGGGTCCGAGCAGCCCCGCCCGCCTGCCCAGGGGCTGCTCCCTGTCCTGGTGCTGGCCCCAGCAGGGTGCGTGGACACTGGCCCTGCGGCCGAGCGGGCACACTGGGCTGTTGTCCTGAGCACAGGGCTGGACCGGGTGTGCCCCCTCCCCCCAGGACAGGGCCAGGAACCGGCGTGGACCCTGCGGGGGACTAGAGGATGCCCTGCAGGGCTGTGAGGTCAGGTTATGGCGCCCTCGCCCCTGCGCCCCGCCCAGCGCCACGCTCACCGTCCTCCTGCTCCAGGACCAGCACCACGTCGGCCTGCTGCAGCGTGATCTCGTCCTCCTGCTTGGCCAAGTAGGCCTTGGTGACCTCCACCTGCGGCAGGTCTGGGAGAGACAGGGGTTGGGGCAGGGCCGTGGGGGCAGCAGGCCCCTCCTCCAGCCCCCACTCTGGCCTCGGTGGGCCCCCAGATGTCCTGCCTCCAGGGCCAGCACCCGGCGTGAGCAGAGGGCACTTGGGGCTCAGGTGGGCCTGGCAGGGCGGGGTGACAGCTTGGCCAGACCCCACAGCTGCAGCGTCCCCCCGCATAGGCACGGCCGCCCTCTCCACACTGCGGAGGGCCAGGCTCCGGGCGGGCTGGGCCTGTGCCAGGCGGGCCTCCCAGGGCCAGGCCAGCTGCAGCTGTTCCCTCTGACCTGGGGGCGAGGGGGGCGGCGAGCAGCACTCACCTTCCTTGTTGGCGGGGCCCTGCCTCTGCTGGTGTGTGAGGGCCGTGACCCACCGTGCCCGGTCGCTCCTGGGGGCAGAGCACATGTGAGGCCGGCCGGCCTGGTGGCCTCTGGCATCACCCCAGCCCTGGGCGTTGGAGCAGGGTAGGTGTCCCTACGGCCCTCAAGGTGGGGCAGGCAGTGGTGAAGGGCCCGCTGCCAGGGGCCTCTCCTGCGTCTGCCCTGCCAGGAGTCTCAGCGGGCGCCACCCAGGGCTTCCCACCCCCACCACGGCAGGGGCCCGGCTCTGGGCAGGCTCCACCAGGTGGCCTGGCCCCAGGTTACCCCTGCCCAGGTCACAGAGTCTGGGGGCAGCTGGACCCCCAGGACCCAGGCTCTACTTCCTGACACAGGGCCTCGGGCCTGGCGCTTGCTAGCTGGCACACAAGGCCTCGGCTTCCACTCAGGAGGGGGCTGGAGCCGGGGCCCGGAGCCCCTCGTGCCTTCTTCCCACTGGCACCTTCCTGTGCCCTCCCGGCCTCGTGTCCCCCTAGCCCCATGCTGCAACCCCGCTATCTTGGGCGGCAGGGGCTGCTGCCCCAGGGCCTTTGCACTGCCTGACTGCAGGCGAGCCGCCCCTCGCCGGAGCCCCCACCCCCACCGCAGCACCTCATGGCGGCCGCTGTGTCCCACTGGGCGTGGCCGCTGAGGACCAGGCTGTCCCTCTGCGGCAGGAGTGGGCGGGTATGGGCCTGAGGCCCTGGGGAGCAGGCGGCGGCCCCCCTTACGCGGAGTCGCAGGACAGCAGGATCTTCTCCTGGCGGCCCTCGCTGTTGTGCAGCAGCGTCACCTGGAAGGGGTGCGGCACGGAGGAGCCCCGGTGGCCGCCCCCCAGCACAGCGGACTCTGAGGGCTCCAACTTCTGCACCTGGATGGCGTCCACCTGGGCGTAGTCCTGGACCACGAAGCTGTCCTCGCTGCAGGGAGAGCGGCCGTGCCCACGCTGAGTGCGGGCCCCGGCCCCTGGCCCCAGAGGGCGTGGACCCAGGCTGTGTGGAGCCGAGCCTGCCCGGTGAGGGGCGGAGGCGCTGACCAGCTGGGGCAGCAGAGGCTGGGCCGGCCACTGTGGGTGTTCTGGGGCCAGCCAGAGGGGGGTCCGTGCCCACAGCCCTGGGTCAGAGCCGTTCAGGCCGGGTCCCCGCGTCCTGCTGGCTGGCCGGAGCCCCTCTCCGCCTCCCGCAGGGTCTCCAGGTGCCCACACCCACCTCTTCTTCTTGGTGACCACCAGGAAGTCGTTGAAGAGGAAGAGGTAGCAGGTGGGCCGGCCGGCCAGCTTCCGGAAGCGGCTGGTCTCCTCCACCACCAAGAGCTCCCCGCGCTTCCGCAGCCAGCGGGAGGCGGAGATGAGCGGGAGACTCTGGGGGGAGAGGGGCGGATGCGCGGCGGCCGGGCGGGGCACCCCTGCTCCCAGACCGGTGACTGTCCAGAGCTGGGCCGGGGCGGGACAGGACTGCGCCGGCCCAGACACAGGCCCGTCCCGCGCCGACAGGCGCGCCTGGATCTTGCCTGGACCCTCAAGTCCTCCCAGAAGCCCGGGCAGGCGGCCCCGCCTCCAGCAGGCAGGTGGCCCAGAGGGCCCGGCCGGTGCCCACGCCCAGCAGGGCCCACACGGCTGACCCTGGGCAGTACAGCTGGGGTGGGGCGCTGGGCTGGGTACCCACTAGCTCGGCCCCCAGCAGGCCCGATTTCAACACCCCCTGTTGGGACCCTGGAACCCGACCCCCCAGCACCTGCCTGGCTATGCTGCTCCCCCCCACCCCCGGGGCTCAGGTGGGCTGGGCTGGGCTCTTGCTCCGCTGCGGGTGTTTCACTGCACACAAGACTCGCTGCCGGGACGAGGAGGAGTCTCCTCCGGGAAGCCCTCCCTGGCCCACCTGCTCCCCTCACCCCGGACCTCTGAGCTTCCGTCCATCCCTCGTCCTCCCGCTCTGCCCAGCGCCTGCTGAGCCCCAGCCTCCTGCAGACACACCAGCAGGGGCGAGGCTGCTCTGTGCTTGCCACTGGGCCCCCGGGGAGGCGGCCTGAATGGCCTGGGGTACGGCAGGGTGGGGCCCTGGCCTGCTACGCCTCTGGGGCTGGTCCAGGGAAGTGGGCAGCAGCCTGAGCCCTGCTCGAGTGGTGGTGGGGGGGCAGCTGAAGTGCCGTTCCACGCCAGGGGAGCCTGACCCAGGGGCCCCGCACAGCCAGCAAGGGTCTCTGGCCCAGGGGCAGCCCTCAGGCCCGCTGCCCCCCACTAGCCACTCAGGGCCTGTCTGTCCTGTCCTGCGGGCCTGAGGGTGTGGGCCCAAAGGAACCCCCAGAGAGGGAAACTGGGCCAAGCCCCAGGCCTCCCAGGCACCACCCCAGGGCCCTCTCCAGCTCTCAGTGGGGGGCTGGGACCCCATAGCACGGTGCTGACGGGGGGGCGTGCAGGCCCAGGCCCGGACCCAGTGCTCACACATGCATGTGCTCACACAGGTGGACTCCAGCCCAGATGTGTGCACACGTGTGCACACTGACAACAAGCACACACACCTGCACGCACACGCGGGCCTGCCTGTGCCCCCACGCACCTGCACACACCCGCACTCACGCGCCCACCTTGACCCTGCTGAAGTCCAGCTGCGTGTGCAGCGTGTACATCTGCTCCGTGCGCTGCATCTGCTGGGCGCCCTCGTTGCACTTCTTCACCAGCTGCGTGCACAGGGGCAGGCCGGTCCCTGGGTGCCCGCCCCGCGGCTCACGGACTGCACGCGCGCTCCCGCGGGCCTCAGTGTTCCCGTCAGCACCGGGGGCTGGGGTGGGCACCCGGGAGCACCCCACCTCTGCCAGGCGGCAGCCCCGCCTCACCTTGCTGATGGCCTTGAGGGCGCGGCAGGCGGCGCTATACCTCTGCGGGTGGCCCTGGCTCTTGACACAGAGCGTCTGCGGAGGGACGCCGGGCGTGAGGTGCCGCATGCCCTCCCGCGCCCGAGGTTTAGGGGCCTGCAGGGGGTAGGCCCCCCAGCGGGTCTGCTGGCCAGGTGGGCACAGGAGTTGGTACCTGCCCACCATTTCAGTCCTTGGCCTCCAGGTCCAGCCTGGGGAGGCCACCGAAGCCCCCACTTCTATACATCCCAGAGCCCCCCACCCCGAGGCCCCATTCGGCTGAGAAAGGGTCCCCCCAAGCTCCTGCGGTGGTCTCAGGGCCCAGCTGGTGCCGGCCTGTGTGCAGGTGGGAGCGTCTGCACGTGCGCGCTGGGGACGCCCGGGTCACCTGCGTCTGCACGCGCGGGGGGTGCACGCCTGCGTACATGCATGTGCTGGGGGCTCCCGTGTCCCGTTTGAGCACCTCACACCCACACGCCCCTTCCCATGAGCCGGTGCCTCACAGACACGAGCCACTCTGGGCGCCCCCTCCAAGCCCCTCTCCACCCACTCAACGTGGACAGCGGGGGGTCAGGGCCTCTGGGGCCCACGAGGCCAAGGGCCTCAGCAGCCCAGCAGTGATGCCCACAGGCCGGAGGCCCCACCTGGCTCCCTGCGTGGAAAGGCCTCATGAGCTGTCACGAGTGGGGAAGCTTGGGGGGTGCTGAAGCCGCTGGGGTGGGGTGCTGGAGCTGCCCAAGAGCTCGGCAGGGGCGTGGGGATTAGAGGCGGCCAGAAAGGCTCCCCACTGTCCCCAAGATGCCCGCACCCACAGGCCAGGCGCGGGCGGAGGGCCGGTACTCACGTCGGTCAGCAGGGGCAGCCGGGTCACCCTCTGCATGGGGAGGATGAGGAAGGAGAGCACGGGCAGGCCCCCGCACGCCGGCCGCGTCTCGATCACCCGCAGGGCCTCGCGGAAGGCGGCGTTGTTGTTTCTGCAAGAGAGAGCGGTCAGCCGGGCCAGGGGGCGCCGCCCGGCGCCCCGGCCCCGCACTCACTGCAGCTGCTGCAGGGCGCGCTGCTGGTACAGCTCGTTGGCGCAGTACACGACGTAGGGCTGGAAGTGGTGCTCCGCGTGCTCCAGCAGCAGGTCGCTGATGTCCTCCACGCACACCTGCTCCTTGTGCCGCCGCTCCAGGTCCTCGAAGAACCTGCGGGGCTGCAGGTGAGGCCTGCGCCCCCCAACCCACGCCCCGCCCTCCCCCTGCCGCGCCCCAGTCCCGGCAGAGGCCCGGCAAGCGGGCGGGACAGAGGCTGACCTTGGACTTGATGCCCTGAGACCCGGGTCAGGACCACCAGCACCCTGTGCCCAGTTCGGGGCCAGGCAGGGGCCAGCGGGCGGGCCTGGGCTCTGGTGACTCATCCACAACCCCCCTCACACCCCGCTTCTGCGGGGGCCACCTTGACGTCTCCTGGGGAGGTGAGGATGACGGTGCCAACGTCCAGCAGTGCTGGCCCCGGGCCTGCCCAGGGTCTGCCCCTGGGGGAGGAGTGCGTGGTCAGCTGCCGGACACACGAGGCACCATCTGGGCCCTGGCCTCGGAGCCGCTCCCACATGCTGACTACTGTCCCCCGAGAAGCCCCTCCCAGGCCAGCTCCTAGGTGCAGCCCCGGGCTCCACCCCAGCGGCCTCTCCCCGGCGAAGGCCTGCCAAGCCGGGCCCCGCGCCTGCTGGGAAACGAGGCCGCCTGACCTCGGGGGGCAGACCCCTCGCGGGGGCCCTGAGAGCCCCACCCCGCGGGCAGTGACCAGGTGTCTGCGGGTGCCCTGACCAGTGGCCCCGCCAGGTGGGGCTGCGGTGTGAGCGCGGACCCGGCACCGTGACTGCAGGCTGCAGGGAGGGCGGCGGGCACCAGCCCTGAGGGCACAGGAGCCACCTCGGCCCCACGGCCTCACACAACCGCGGTGGGCAGCTGGGAGGCGGCGACCCCAACTACCTGGCCCGGGCCCTGAGGATGGTGGGCTCTGGGGACCTGGTCAGGGACACGCCTCGGGGTCTCAGGGAGGGGAAAGCGGCCTGTGCTTGGCGGCGGGCAGGGGTCCCCAGCTCCCGCTCACTGACCCCCGCCTCACTCTCCACCCACGGGGGGGTCAGCACTCACTGACCCGGAACAGTCGATGCTTGGGGCGCCGCTGGGAGTGGCCAAGAGCTGCCTGAGCCCTGCGGGGGGCCGAGATCCCAGCATGGGGCGCTGGGGGATCAGACACAGGTGCTGACTGCTGGCCCCGCCTGGTGCGGGCACCCGAGTTTGGCAGCCTGCGGTCAGCGCCAGGTGGAGAGGCAGCCGCCGCACTGGCCCTGCTGGGTGGGGTGGTGACCTTCCCATGGCCTGTCCAGGATGGCCCCACCCCATGGCCCTGAACTTCCCCAGGGAGCAGACTGGGGGTGCTCAGTCAGGGGTTCGGCCCCCCAGTGTTCTGGGGGCCGGTGGGACTTGCCCATTGCTTCGGGGGCATGCCAAGGCCTGGTGAGTTGGGCGGGATCACTGGCACTAGGGTCAGCGGACTGAGCCCACACAGGTGCACACCCAGCCGTGGCAGGCACGGCCCCCTTCTCACCCCCGCCCTGCAGCCAGAGCCCTGGCATGGCGCCACGCGGGGTGCCCCGGGCACAGTGGAGGCCGCTCAGCCGCTGTCCGGCCGTACGCCTTGCGCCCAGCCTCCCGGCAGGACAGGAGGGCCAGGCCATGTGGTGCTGGTACCCGGGAGGCCCGGAGCCGCTGTGGGGGCCCAGGGTCGGCACGTGCTCGTTCCCTGCCGAGGAGGCCGTGGTTGCAGACGGGCCTAAGCCAGCCCGCCGCCGCCCTCGGCCACATGCCACCGCCCCGGGCCGCCCACCGCTGGCTGGCGCTCTGCACGTCCAGGACGTTGGAGAAGAGGTGGTGGTGCTCCATGGGCGTCATGGTGGTGCGCAGCTCCAAGCTCTGCAGGAACTCGGCCACCAGGATGCCCAGGCTGTGCTGGTACGAGAACTCGGACGTGAGGATCTCGAAGATGGCCTGGGGAGGACAGCAGCGCGGCCTCAGCCCCACTGGCTGGACTCAGGCCACAGGGACACAACAGGGGCCATGGGGGCAGGTGGGGCTGTGGGGGGGCAGGTGGGGCTTGGGGTTCGCACTGGGTGGCTCCTAGGCTGTGTCGCTGGCCAAGATCTCTCCCCTGCCCGAGGGCTGCCCCCTCTCCCGCCCAGGGTGTCGCCACTACTTAGGGGCCTGGCCTGGGGGAAACGCGGGGCCCCGAGTGTCATGAGGTCCATGGTGGTGGCACCCCACACCCCTCACCTCCTGCCTCTTGCGCTCCTCAGCTGGCAGCGTGTCCAGGATGCCAGACTCTACCACCTGGGGGCACAGGCCGGGGCACAGCTGCTCATCACGGAGGCCTGTCCCCCCACCAGACACCGGCACACTGAGGGGTGCATGGGGGTGTCCTGCTGCCGGTGTCCCCGAGACCCTCCCCTGGGGCCTGGCAGGGCCGCCCTACCTCCGGGAGCTGGCTCCAGGTCACCTGCGGGGGCCGGAAGTTCTGGACCACAATGGGGGCTCCCACGCTCCGGGTCCTGTCGGGGCTGGAAGGCTCGTCCAGCAAGTCGTCGTCTGACTCAAAGCTGGTGTTCAGGCCCCGCTCCCGGATTTCCTGGTAGAACCGGGGGTCTGGGAGGAGGGGCTGTGTCAACCCCGGGGCCCCCTGGACCGTCGGCGGCACAGGGACCCCCAGAGCAGGCCCTTCGGGATCACCCACGGCTCTGCGGTGGGCCAGGATGGCGGTTCCGGTGGGGGTGTGGAATGTGGCATTGTCACCCCGGAAGCAGGCGGGGCAGACCTGGGGCCGGGCTGTCCGTAGGGCCCTGGGTGTGCTGTGCCCTCAGTCCAGGGCTGCCAGCCCCCCTCTGGCTCTGCAGTGGTCATACCCCCTACAGCCCAAGGTCGGGCTGGTTGTGGCTCCGGGCACTCGTGAGGGGAGCAGCGAGGCCGGCACACCTGTCCGTCCTGCACCAACCGGGACCTTGCTGCTGCAGCCTGTGGCTGAGCCCAGGGCCCACAGGGCCTGCACCCCCAACTGTGACTGTCTACAGAGGGCGGCACTGCCAGGGCCTGTCCTGGCTGAGGGCCTGTGCCCAGCCTGAGGTCCCAGCCTCCCGGGCCCACTGGGTACTCTCCTGGCTGGGGGCGCCTATGATCAACCTCCTCTGTGGTCCCAGGGGTGCCCCAGCAGGCTGAATGCTGCTCTGGGGCCCCAACGCCTGGCTCCCCTGGATGGCAATGATGCCCGTTGCTAGCCAGTACCCATCTGCCCTGGTCCCTTGATGACCCCCGGGCCGGTGCACACTCTGGGGCTGACAACGGCCTCTGAGGGTGCGTGGGGCTCTGTCCTGGGCAGGAGGGAGTCCAGAGAACTTCCTAGACCTTCCTTAGCCCTTCAGAGTGATGTGGCCTGTCCCGGAGCCCCATATGGCACGTTCTCTGCCACCGAGCTCCACCCCTGCCCGGCAGGGGTCTCTGCAGGGCCAGCTCCGCGCAGGACAGGCCGTGTCAGCCACTCACCGTCCTTGAAGGAGCCCTTGTGTGCGCGTTTCCGCCCCAGCGTCTTCTACAGGGAGACACAGAAACCAGTGGTCAGCAGGGCCAGCTACTGCTCCACCCGGGCCCAGGCCCCAGCCGGAGGCACCGCCAGGCAGAGAAGCCTTTGGTCACTGCCAGGCCCACAGAGGAGTCAGGTCAGCAAGGGGGCTGGGCAGACAGACGGGCTGGAGGGGGGACTCTGGGCAGGCAGCAGCATGGGCAGTCCAGGAGGGCTGCCTGGAAGAGGCCGCAGGGGTGAACGGGTCCAGGGGCTGCTCAGGACAGTGTGCCTGGAGAGATGCCCAGGCAGGACGGTGTGTCTGGGAGAGGACGGAGAAGGTGCGCGTGGGAGGCCTGGGCCGTCTCAGAGCCCTGGGGAGCCCGGGGGGCGGGGGTGGTAGCAGGGAAAGCAGTGACAAGTGGGGTCCCCCAGCCCACTGTCTGCACGGGCCTGGGGCCCCAAGAGCTGGCGCAGGACAGCAGAGGCTGTGGGGAGCCACCCTGGTCCTGGGCCCGCCGGCTGCCAGCCCAGACACCATTTCCCCGGCGGGGGGCGGCTGCAGGAAATCAGGAGCCGGCTTCTGGGACGAGTTTGGGCCTGAAAACTGCTTCGGCCCGCCCCTGTGCCCCGGGCCCGCCCTCAGACCGGGGTACATCCTGCTGCCTGGGCACCTCCCCCGCCTGGCTGATTTGATCCTCCTTCCCCCAGGACCCCTGCCCCGCTCTGAGCCCCTCCTCCTGCTGTGCGGCCTCCTGAGCACCCCAGCCCGGTCCTCGGCCCGGTTCCTGGGCCACCTCGGCACCCCAGCAGCACCCACAGCGAGTGCTGGGCAGCCGGGGGGGTGGAGAGGGGTCCTACAGGGCCCCGCTGTAGGCCCCCTTCAGCCCCTCAGCGCACGGGCGGGGGGCCAGAGGCAGCACCCTGACAGGGCCTCAGCTTCTCCCCCGCGGGGGCCGCAGCTCGTGGTCTGGGCAGGAGCCCAGGGCAGAGGCAGCCGCTGGGGCAGCAGCATGGCAGAGGGTCCCAGCAGAGGCGGGACCAGCCCCTGGGGCGCAGAGACTGTCCCCGCTGGCTAAGCGAGGACGCCAGGGGCCCCTGGAGAAAACCTTGGCCTTTCTGGGCCTCAGCTGCCTCCCTGCAGGTGGGGACAGCCATGCTCTACGCCCAGCCTGGAGGAAGCTGCCAGGAACCGGCACACAGCTGGTGCTCACAGTTGCCTGCACACAGCCGGTGCTCACTAGTGGCCGCACACAGTAGGTGCTCACAATTGCTTGCACGTAGTCGGTGCTCAAAGATGCCTGCGTGCAGCCAGTGTGCACACGTGGCCGCACACAGTAGGTGCTCACAGGCGTAGCTCAGGGACGAATGTGACGTGACGTCAGTCCCTGGCCTGTCTCCGAGGGCCCTCCAGGCACAGCCCCCTCCCCGCTGTCCGGGCGGACGGGTCTCCTACCTTATTTTTGGCTGGGCACCGAGCAGGAGGCTGGCTGGGCTCCTCAGCCAGAGCCTGGAGTTTGGGGGTGAGCCGAACGGGGCCCCCCTCGCTGCCTGGACTCCCCAGGCTCTTCATGGCCGCCCGGTAGGACTGGTTCCGCAGATTTCGTCTCAGCAACCCTCCAGGGCCGGTGTCCACGTCCATGTCATCCAGGGAGAAGCTGGGGGCCGGGTGCAGTCGGGGGGCCCGCCGGGCAGCCTCCTTGCTGAGCACTGCCGCCCCGAAGCTCTGGTGGCGGGCAGGGGCCTTAGCCTTGCTGGACACAGCCAGGCTCCGGGGAATCAGCTGCTGGGTGCCCATCTTGAGGGCCGCGGGGCTCTGGGTGCTCAGGACGACAGTCCAAGGGGCCTCGCCCTCGGGGGATGGAGGTGGGGCCGCCGGGTAATGGAGTGGGGAGCTGCCGCTGTCCCTGGTCTGCAGGGCACCCCGGACCACGGGGAGGCTGGACGCCGGGCATCCCTCGGCATCAAGCCACAGCTCCGAGTGGAAGCGGCTTTCCAGAAGCTTCTCCTCCAAGGAGCTGTCCGAGTGCCGCTGTGCCATGCTGGGCGCACGGGTCCTGCAGGGAAGGGCAGGGTGAGGCCAGGCGCCCAGGCCCCGGTCCCCGCAGGGCTCCGCCGAGGGCACCAGCAGTCCCGAGGGCACCAGGTGGCCGCGGGCCGCAGCGTAACGGGACGCACACGGCTCTGCCCCTGTAACTCTGAGAAAACAAAGACGGCCCCACGCCCTCCACACCTGCACACATGGCCGGCCCGGAGCCTGTTTCGGGCGGGAAGATGAGGCCCCACGTCGCAGGCCTGCCCACGTGGCCCCTGGGGCCCGGGAGAGTGTGGACCTCGGAGTCTACCGGGAGGGAGGCCGGTGGCCGGGACCCGCAGCCGAGGCGACCAGGCCCATGGGGCTCCCCCAGCACCCACCGTCCCAGGGCCCCAGCCCGAGCCCACTGTGCAGTCTGGGGCCTGGGTGTCCGGAGTCCAGAGCTTCCCTGCAGGGCATCCCCACCCCAGGGCCGGACTGGCCACGCGCACCACCCAGTGACAGCAGTGGCGCAGCCCCCGGCCGCGGCTCGCGTCCCCTCCGGGGCAGGTGCGAGGCTGGGCCTCCCAGTGCAGGGGCTGCCCCGGGGCTGCGGCCACCCCCACGCTGGAGGACAGTCCCCGCATTCCTGGGGATGTTCTGAGCGGGCCGCGGGGGCACCGGGGCGGAGCCTGCCCGTGCTGACTTGGCTGCTGCAGCTGGTCGCCGAGGGCGGCTCTTTAGACCCGCCTGCTCCCACCCAGCGCCAGCCGGAGGGTACGGCGGCCTCCCCCGCAGCAGCCTGCCCGGCTGCGCCCCGCTGCCATCCTGGGCCAGCGGCTCCCCCGCTGCCCATCCCTGTCCCTCCTCCGCCCTCCGCCCTGGACCCCGGCCCCTGCGAGCCGTGGTGGTGGGCCAGGCCAGGGCCGCTCCCCGCAGAGGGCAAAGTCTGCCCCGGGTGAAGGTCTCGGCGGGAACCTGTCTGGCCAGCCGCGCCGAGGGCGTGACCTCCGTTCCCAGCAGGGTGGCCGCACCCAGCGGCCTAGCGCCAACGCCCGCAGGGACAGAACCCAAGGAGACCGGAGCCTGCCCAGTGTGGCTGCCGGTCCCCCGGGGCCGGGCTCCGCTGCCGCCTCGCCTCCCTCCGTGCAGCCTCCCTCCGAGCACCGGCCTCCACCCGCCCAGCCGCCCTGTTAATGATTCCCCGGCGTTCCCCCGGCGCGCCCCTCTCATCTCCCCAGCATTCCGGACGCCGTGACCTGGCTCAGGCTGTCCCTTTGTCAGTCAAGATGAGGGTCCCGGGTCTTTGGAGACCCCTGCGTCCCCTCTCACCCCCAAGGCCTCCCTTCCCCGCCGGGGGCTGGTGCTTCCGGCCCCGTCCGCCTCCCCCGGGGCTCAGGCGGTGCCGCCCGTCTCCTGGGCTGCTCCTGGGCTGGGTCCGAGCCTGGGCCTCTGCTCCGGCCCCCACCGCCGACCGCAGCGGGGACATCTGATTGGCCTCCCGGGATTTGGACCAAGCCTCCCGGGCCCTGTGGGGATGCCTCCTGCCTGCAGGGCCGCCTGTGCCCCCGGGCCTGAGGCTCCCAGGCTGCGTGTACCCCCGGCCACGTGCCCCGTCCAGGCCAGCGCTGCCCGCTGACACTCGGGGCTATGTCCCAGCTTCCGACGGCTCTGCTCCCTGCCCCCCCAGCTCTATGGAGGGTCCCAAATCTTCCCCTCTTCCCAGAAACTGCAGAGAGCCAGCACCCCCGCGCCCGGCTGCCCCAGCTGCAGAGGGGCTGCGTCTGCACCGCCCAGACCCAGGCAGAAGCCCTTCTCTGGGCCGGGTCCGGCTTCCCCAGGCCTCACTCAGGCCCCGGCCTTTCCCCGCAGGCTGCTGCTGGCAGGCGGGAGGCAGGCACCACTGGGGGAGGCCTGGTTTGGGCGCGAGGTGAGCAGACAGGCCCTCTGCATGGGGCCTCTCTACTGACCAGCTGGCCCCGCAGGGCACCCTGTGCCTGGAGTTCTGGCCTCTTCCAGCGCCCTCAGCCACGCAGGCGGGGGCAGCCATGTCCCGGTGGGCCTGACACCTGCAGTGGCCGCGTGGGCCACAGGGAGGGCCCAGCGGGGAGGCTGTGCTGTCCACCCTGTGTGCGGGCCCTCCAGGGGCAGGATGACCTCCTGTGCATGCGCCCGAGGCCCCAAGCGGAAGGGGGACACGGGGGCTGTGGCTCCGCCCTGGATGCGATTCTCCTACACGGCCCAGCCCCGACTCAGCACACACTTGCCTCGGCCAGGACACCACCAGGCCTCCCTGACCCCGAGGGGCCTCCTGCTGCTTCTGCTCAGGCTGGCCTGGAGGACCCAATGGCTGAGCCCTGGGAAGCCACACCTGGCGCTTTCCTCTCCGCGAAACAGTCCCTCGTGTCCCCAGCACAGGCGCGGGGTGGGCAGGGCACTCGGGACCGCGCAGGCGGTGGCCGGGGTGATTGGGTAGGGTCAGGCGGGTCCCTGCCGTCCTAAGCTGCGGTGGCCCCGCCCTGGCTGCTCCAGCCCGGCCAGCCCTCGGGCCCTGCAGCCCAACCCTGCTCCCTCCCCTCCCTGGGTCTCAGCCCCCAAGACCACGGTCCCCAGGTCTGGCCGGGGCGCAGGCACAGCAGCTCTCTGTGGACAGGACGGGGGCCCTCCTTGCTCGGACATCTCTAGCTCTGCCGCCCCGCTGGGGCCCGACCCGGCCCCTGCTCAGGTCGTCTGCACCCACAATGCCGGCCTTGTGCTGGGTAACCCTGCCCGGCCGAGCTCGGGCGGGGCCCAGGACGCAGGCTGTGGCTGCCAGCACAGCGCGGACAGACGGCCCGGCGAGGGGGCCATGAGGCTCTGCTCTGGGGACACTGCAGCGTCTTGAGATGTCCTTGGTGGTCACAGCTGGGCCGGCCACTGGCCGCTCTGGTGCTGCCCATGCCCACAGGGACGGCCACGACCGGAAATTCTCCACTCCCTGGGGCGGCCCTCAGGGGGGCAGCGGAGACTACCAGCCGGCCCGGCCGGGCAGGAGCGGGGCCAGGGCCCCTCGCCCCTCCCACCCAGCACCCCAAGGCCCAGCCCCAGCTCCTCGCCCGGCGCTGACCCCAGACGCCCCGGGCCGGCCCGGCCAGGCGAGGCCACTCGGGGAGCAGGCCTCCTGCCAGCGCTGCTCGCCCTGGGGTCCTGCCACCCAACTTCCGGAGGCGTGGGAGCAGGTACAGCGGGGACGCCGCCCCCGGTCGCGCCGCCCAGACCCGGTCACGCTGCGGGCACGGGTGTCTCGCCAGCCCCGGCAGGGACACAGCGAGACCCAGCTGGAAACCGAAAGTAAAATGCCAGGACTCGGATGGGGTGAGCGCCTGGCCTGTCGGGCCACCCCGGACGGCCTCCCTGGGGGCGGGTGAGGGAACCCACACCTGCTGCCTCAGGGGGGCAGGGCCCCCGCCAGGGCCAGAGTCCCCGCAACGGGACTCCCTGCAAAGACCCCCCCAGACAGGCTCTCCAGAGGCAGCGGCAGGGAGGCAGGGGCACCCTCCCCCGCAGGTTCCAGTGATTAAGGCCTCACTGCTTCCGGGCAGCCCCCCAGACCCCACCTCTAGCCACACCCCGTGGCTCTGAGGGGTTCGTGGTCACGGCACCCCAGGCAGTGGGTTGTGGCTGGGTTGGGCCCCCGCAGAGGCCACCCCTCCCCATTTCACAGGTGAGGAAGCGGGTCCAGGGGCTCAGGAACCTTGCCTGGGTTTGCGCGGAGCCAGGATTTGATCCGGGGTCCCCACCCCTGTGCACTGGCCACGGGGGAGTCGGGGTACACACGCAGGGGCGGGATCCTCCCTGAGCCCCCCTGGAGGCATGGACTGTGGACCTGGAGGGCTGAGGGAAGACTTGGGCCCGGCCCAGTGGGATGAGAGGCCCCAGGCCGGGGGCAGGGCTCCCCCAAATCTCAAGAGGATCCTTGCTCCCCAGACGCAGAGACCGGGGGGACCCAAGCCTTCTAAGTGACCCTCGGCCCTGCTGGGGCCCCTCCCTGCCCCCAGGGACTGGCACAAGGTGGGGGTGCTCGGTTGGCTGTGGGGAGGACCCTGATTCTCAGGGCCACTGACTGTTGGGGCCCAAGCATTTCGACAGCAGGTGCTCCAGAGACCTTGGGGGGTTCATGCTCAAAGGTCCTGGGGGCCCGCAAGGGGCCTCCCTGCCCGGTCTAGAGACGGCTCCCCTGGGCAGCGAGGGAGGGGCTGGGACGGGCCGAGTGGGTGGGGTCCGGGTCTCCAGCCCGCCGGCTCGGGCCGTGGGCTCCGCCCCTCCGCAGCCCCGAGCCTCAGTGCCTGCGGGAGGAGGGGACAGTTCGGCAGACCCCGAGCGGGGCCACTGCTTGGGGGGAGCTGAATGGGAGTAGGAGTGGCGCCAGGGTCCGCTCCTCTCCCCAGGCCCCCCCACGCCCCACCCCGCTCACCTGCTCCCCAGGCTCATCTGCTCACCCCAGCCCCACGCTCACCTGCGCGCCCACGGCTCACCTGTGGGTGTCCCAGCCTCACCTGCCGCCCAGCTTCCCTGCGCCGCGGGGCGGAGGGCGCGCGACGGGCCCGGGCCGAGGCGGGGCGGCAGCCGCAGGCTCGGGCCCTGGCGGGGCAGCCTCCGGCGCGCAGGTCGCGCTGGCCCCGCCCCGCCCCGCCCCGCCCGCCACTTCCTGCGCGGCCGGAGGCTCCGGCCCGCCAGGTGCGCCCGCGGGGGGCCGGCCGGGCGTCCCGGGCACCTGGCCGTGCGCGACGTCACGGCCCCGCCCACGTGACCCGCCGCGCCCTCCGCTGCCCACGCCCCGCCGCGGCCGGCCTGTTCCGTGCCGCCGCCTCCAGGAAGCCCTCCGGGCAGGGGCAGGCCCGCGGGCGGCCCCGACGCGCGGACCTCGCCGCCCCTTCGCAGCGGGGGGCGCCCGGCCGGAGGGGCGTCGCCACCGCCGGGCCCAGCCGCCTCCCCGGGCCTTGCGCGCCCCCAGAGGCCGAGGCCGCAGGCGGGGGCGCGGGCCGGCTCCCCGGGCGGCAGGGGCTGCGTCGGACGGGGCGCCCTGGCCGCGCCCCCCGCCCCGGCACCCCGCGCCCAGCCCGGCGCTCGCAGCCCAGGGCGGCCACGCGGGGCTCGGGGCTCTGCGCGCGGCCGGGGCTCCGCGAGCCTCCACCCCGGGCCCTCCCGGCTCGAAGCCTCGGCCCCTCCGCCAGCGCCCCGCCCGGGGTGAGCCGCCGCCCCCCGCGCCCCCCCCCGCGAGGGCCGCCCCTGCCTCGCCCCGCCCCCGCTGGGGGTGCTGCCCGCGGAGCTGACCCGCCCTCCCGGCCTCCGGCCTCCCCGCCGGCCAGCGCCCCCCCTCCGGCGCTCCTGCCTTTAGGCGCGGGAGGCGGGACCCCCGTCTGCAGGGCAGGGGCACCCCCGCTCAGTGCGGGAGGACGGTGCAAAGTGACCGCGAGGAAGAGCCGTGACCAGGGCTAGCGCGGCTGGCGCGAGATGCGGCCTCCTCAGAGGGCTTTCGGGGGACCCGGCCGAGCTCCCCGAAAGGAGTTGAGGGTGCCCCGAGGACGGCGCCCGCCTCTGGAGCGGAGGGGCTGGGCCAGGAGCCCCCCGGGCCCCGCCGAAGGCAGAGGGCAGGTGGGCAGGCTGTGGCCGGCGGGCGGCAGCCCAGGGCAGCAAGGGGCCACTCACTCAAGCAAAGGGGCAAGGCGGGCGCGGGCGCGAGGCGGGCGAGGGCCCCAGGCTGGGCATCCCGCGCTGTCCCGTCACCACGCTCGTCCCTCACCCCTGGCGTGACCTCGCTGCGGTCACTTGTCATCCCGACGTGCCGCCCCGAGACACCTCGAGTCGCGGCCCAAACCCCTCACCTCCCTTTGTGAGGAGCAGGACAGCCCCGGGCAGGAGGAGGGTGCTCACCTCTGGGGGGGCTGCTCCTCTGCAGCCTCCTGGGGCACATTCACCCCACAATAGAGCCAGGCCGGCCATGGTGTCCCCGACATGCAGGACCCCGCCCTGGAGGTGAGCCCTGTCCCAAGCCTCTCTCTAGGCCTCCTCTGCAGCGCAGACCCATGCCGGGAGCATCCCAGAGGGGTGCCCTCGCCGAGCTGGGCCCTGGCGCCATGTGGGCTCAGGGCAGGCCCCCTGAGGGGCACAGGGCCCCCATCCCAGCCCCATGGGATACAGCCCCCATCCCAGTCCCCTGTGGGACACAGCCCCCCATCCCTGCCCACCCCCTCGGGGCCGGGCTCTGTGTGAACTGCCACCCTGTGCCAGGCCAGGGGGTGCTGCAGGCTTGCGGGGTCCAGCTTGGCACGTCGTTGGGCACTGACTGTGGTTTGAGGGGCAGCTCTGCCCTGAGCGCCTGTGGCCTGCCCAGTCTGCCCCAAGTTGATGCCTTGTGTCCCCCCACGTCTGCCAGCAGCCAGGTCCAGGCTCTGTGGAACAGGTGCCCAGTGGGACAGGCCCTGGGGGCCCCCTGCCGGGCGGTCACCTGGGTGGCAGGTTTTCTGGCAGCTCCCGGGAACGGCGGGCCATTGCTGCCCTCCAGAGGCCATCGCAGGTACTGCACCGGAGCGCCTGGCCTCGCCGCCGGCATCCCTAGGCCCCAGGAGCGCCGTCAGGCTCCCCAAGGTCGGAGGCCTTGAGGGCACCATACCCGGACTCTGGCCGGCGCCATTGTGGCTGGGGACAGGCCTGCTCGCTGGCTGGGTGACCGGGACCCTCAGTTATCTCAGCCGGGTGGGGCTGGGGGGGCACAGCTCAGGCATCTTACTCGCCCCCCGCCAGCAGGTGAACCTGGCTGGGACCCAGAGCCGGGCCAGGCTGGCACAGAGCCGGGCCCTTCCGGAGGGTGCCCACGGCCCTGCTTCCCTCCCTCGGGCCCCCCGTGCAGCTGTGTCCCTCACTGAGAGGCAAATGAAACCCCTTGAGAGCCTCTGCGGGGGTCCCAAGGGCCGAGCTTCGCAGGAAGGTTCCCCCAGTGCAGAGCGCGTGTCCCCGGGGCTCAGGGCCTTCGCCTGCCGTCCTCGGCCGGGACTCCCCTTGCTCCCCCAGCCCTCTGCCCCCCTCTGCTCCCTGACACCTTCCCCGACCAGCCTTTCCTGACCACCCCTTGGAGGAAGGCAGGTCATGCTCACCACTGCGGACCAAGTCCCCTGTTGGGGTGACGTCCATGACCCCAAATATGCCGAAGCCCTAAGCCAGCACCGTGGTGCCCGCCCTCCTGACTGCGAAGTTGCCCTGGCACCTGGGCTCTGCCGGTGTCTAGGAGGAGGAGGTCTGGGGACCGGGTTGGGGACAGGCAGGTGGGAGTGAAGAGACTGCGGGGTGGGGGTCAGGGCTTCGGAGGAGCCCGCCCGGGACAGGCCCCCTCACTCTGGCCTCCGGGCGGCCCGTGTGTGTTCACCTTCCCATGAGCCTCCCGCGTCCGCTGCTGCCTGTGCCCATGCGGGGGCGGGGGTGCAGGCCCTGCAGGCTCTCCCCCGGTGCCTGGCTGCCTGGCGGGTCTGGTGGAGCTCGGGCAGGACAGAGGGGCCCGGGTGCACAGGAGGCGGCTCCCCGCTCCGGCACATCCGGCCCCCACCCACTAGGTGAGGTTTTCGGCCTCAAGAATAGGAACTGGGGCCTGCAGCAGCGGGTGGCGGCCTGGACTCCCTCCCTCCCCATGAGCACCTTGCCGGAGCCACCTCTGTCCCCTTGCTGGGGTCCTGGCCTGGGAGGCAGCCTGGGCGCTGGGGTCAGGCCCTGGGGGCGGGTCTGTGCTCTGGGCCTCACCTCAGTAGGTGAGCCGGGGCTCAGCGCCTGGCCCCTGCCCTCCGGGGGCTCCCTCTCTCCCCAGCAGGGGAGAGGATGTGGACCCCAATCTGGGCTGTTGGGGGAAGTGGACACTCCCGCATGCAGAGGCTGCCCCGAGGTTCCCGGGGCCACCCCTCTGCTCCTCCAAACTCTGTTCCTCGGCCCCGAGCCCAGCCCCAGGCAAGAGCGCGCCCCAGTGTCCCCTGCCAGGGTGAGGGTCAGCGCCACCTCCCGCCCCACCCGGGCCCGCGGGGGTGCAGGGTTGGGGCTGGGCACAAAAGCTCTCCTTTCCTCTCAGCCTGGCACAGGCAACAGAGGCCCCAGCAGGGCCCCGGGGTGCCCGCCCCGACCGCGGCGGCTGGGAAAGGATGCCCGCTGCCCTCGGGTGAGAGGGTGGCCGTGGGTGCGCCTGCGGACAGAGGCGCCTCTGTGCCGGGAGCAGAGGGCTGCGTGGGCCGCACATGGTGGGGGCGCAAGGGGTGCCGGCCGCAGGAGGCTGGACAGGACCGACGTGACTCCCTCTCCGGGCACCCCACGGCGAGTGTCGCTTCCTCCCTGTGGACGGCTTGAGTGTGCCAAGCCTGGCATCGCCCCGTGGACCCCTGAGGGGGCCATGTCGGGGCCCCATGGAACCGGGAGGGGCTGGTTGGTGCCTGGCTGCCCCCTCCCGCGAGTGGGGACACTGGTCACTGGCCAGGACGAGAACCCCACTGCTGGGCTCCAGAGCCCAGGTCCCTCGTAGTAACGAGGCTGTTTCGGGATTCCAAAGAAAGCGGGTTTGGTTTTAATGCGTGTCTGTCTCCACCCGAGGATGGAAAATGTCCTCACACTCCCAGGGGGTCGCGCCACCAGCCAGAAAACTGGAAACACAGTTTCCAGTCAGGGTGCAGGGCGCACGGAGAGCGGCTGGCGCCCCGGCTCTGGAGGCAGGCGGGGTGGCCTGGTGTGGGGCCGGGGCGCCAGGGCCTCCGGGGGGCCCGAGCTTTTGGACAGTGCGGCCAGGTGAGGTGTGATTTGCAGGTGCCGGCTCGGCAAGTCGTAACAGGCCACAGCGGGGCACCCGCCGCCTCGACCTGGAACCCGCCGCGCCCCAGGAGCTGTCCCCGGTGCCTTCGCAGCCAAGGGGGAGCCCCTCCCCACGCCACCCCCGCTGACCCGCCGCTCCCGGGGCGCCCTGGGAACAGGCCCGCGCCAGCCACTTCCTGCACGCAGCTCGGCCGGTGCTCTGTCCCCCTGCTCTGTCCCACGAACACGTGTGCTCCCGCACACGGACACGCATGGCCTGTCACATGCGCCCTGTGTGCTGCCACACCCACCTGCTCCCCGCCACTGCTCCCGCACACACGTTCTGCCACACACACCCTGCTGCACGCACACGCGCATTCGGTTACACACAGGGTCGACCACTCAGGATTCTGTTGCACACGTGTTCTCTTGCGTGCACACATGTATTCCCCCCGCACACATGTTCGCTCACACACGCGTGCTGTTGCACTGACAGTGCTCTCTGCACGCACACGCGTCCTGTTGCCTGTGTCTCCGTGTCCCTGCCGCTGTCCTCCTGTGCCCGGGGTGCCACGGCACGTCAGGCGGAGGAGGGGACAGCGACCTGATGCCCGCACTAGATCTCTGACCTCTGACCTCTGACCCACAATCCAGGAAGCCAAGCAGGGGCGCTGAGACTGTCGGCTGGGGCGGCAGGTCCAGCCAGTGTCCAGCAGGTGGCCTGTTTGTCCCCACGTCGCGC